ATAAAAAAAACTTCAACCTCTTTAATCTCTTTAGTGGGCTATCTTATTTTTTGCACAAAAATTTTAGTAACTTTTTATTAAAAAATTAAAAGAAAGTTATTAACTTTTGAGATTATTCTTTTCTTGAGATAAAATTAAATATTTTTACAGTTAACAAAAGAATTCCTCACATAATATAATTTCTATAGCCAAATCGTAATTTTTTAAGAATTTGTCACAAACCCCTTTTTTATTATTTAATAAATAAGGCATGTAATTGTTATATTAGAAAATAAAAATTACGTCTAATCAACAGAATAATATACAATCTAGTTAACCTTTCCATGCGTGGTATCAACTTACTTAACAATTAGTAAATAAAAAAATAGATGGCTAGAGGTTTTGAAATGGGAAAGACTACAATAGACTTTGAAGTTATTAAAGAAGAAAGGAAGGGAAGTGAGGTAACATATAAAATAACCATAAAAAGGTAACAAATGGGAATTTGAAACAAGAGATATACAAATTATATAGCGGAGAGAAAAAGGAGATTTTGTCAATCTGTAATGATAAAATGCTTAACCTTGTATTAGCACAAAAAGGAAAATGATTATCGACCTCAATTTCACTTTTAGTTAGATAAAAGTGTAGTACTTTACACTTATTTTGAAAATGTATATCCTGTTTAAAAGTATCTAGAGTCAAGTATTAAAATTTTTATCATTGAAGTGGAGAGAAAACCACAGACTTTGATAGGAAACCAAAATCTTTTCTTCCTGATTTTTCTTTTAATCTAGTAGAGAAGCCATCATAGAATCCCCATTGGTACATTCCTTGAACAGCGCCGTCTGGGGTAAAAGTGCTTAATTAGATAGATTTTGAGCTTTCTTAAAAAGGCTTGAAGCAACTAAATTTTTAAATTGTTTTTTTTCCATCTTCTTAGAGGTATCCGTCGCAGACTTTTGCATTTACTGCTCTTCCAACGTAGTAATCCGAAGCACATATTTTTCTTTTATTTCATATATAAACCCTTCTAATACATGTTGAAACTGCATAGATTCAGAGTATTTTACTCTGAAATTAATAATCCTAAGTACTTTGCTATGTCTCTAATATGGAATTTTAGACCTACCTAGAATAGTATAAATAAAGGAACCTATAGATATATTTTAGTGAGTTTCTGCTGAATTATTGTTAATCAAAAAAATTTTGTTTTTTGCTGTGAAAATATTTGTAAAACGTAATTAATGTTTAAAAATAAAGTTTCATTAGTACTTATTACTATTTTTGATAGTTTCTTTCATTTTATTTAAAAATATCTTCTTAATCAAATAGACTGAGCAGTTATAGAGGGAATGGAATAAAAACTTTTTCACTTTGGGAGAAACCTTTTCTTGGCGCTAAAAGCAGAAAAAATTTCAATAAGATATTTTCACCCGCTGTATTAGTTTGGATTCTTCAAAGTAATAGATAAAAAAATCCGAAAAATTGAAAGGTTTTAGCAAAAGCGTCGTCTTAAAAGATATCTATTCCAAGAGCTTAAAATTTACTTAACATCTATTTTCTTTCTCAATAATAATGATATTGTTTTAAAAATCTTCTATTCCCAAAGTAAGTTTTCTAAGAGAATATATACAGTATTCCTTGTCTATGTGATGCTGAATACAAGCTGAAAATGAATAAAAACCAAAAAATTACTCATCATTCACATATTTTTTCCTCTATGTGTAGGCTTAAAAAGAAATTATTGATTTGCGAAAACTTTAAATACTATTCTCTGAGATGTAAGATACTACGTTGTCTGTACTTTTAATTAAATAGAGATACATTAGAGTTGAAATTGTTCTTATATAAAATATCTCGTAATTCTGGTGAAGTGAAGTGAAAAAAATATATGATTTTCAGGTAATATTATGAAATCTAAAAATCTAATATTTATTATTTGCCTGTATAAAGGGGGAAGAAGACTCCTTCTATTTAAATTTTAAAATATTATGCAAAGTATCACAGTGGATTAAAGTTGTCATAAATATAGCAAGTTGCAGTTATAAATAGAGTAAAAGAGTAATTCAATACTTCATATTTGAAATATTTACCTACATTTTTACTTAATTTTTTAAAGCTTTACCTCCTGAGAATTATCCAACATTTCATTGGTTGACTTAACCTTTCCGACGATTTCATTTGAGATTAACCTTTAAACATTTAAGAATTTATAAAAGAAAATAAAACTTATATCAAATATTGTATGGGAAAGCCTTTACACCCTTTTTAAGTACTACGCAGTAATCATACTTATGTCCCTTGACTTTTTTAGACTCTATTATAGAATATTTTTTTAGCATGAAAATTTTATAACATTTCGCATTTCGTACTTCAATATTTTGGGAAATGGAAAAAGCCGTATATGTATAGACAAAAGAGTTGGAAAAAACGTATTCTGTAAAGAGACTGTCTGTAAAGTCTGAAGCTCTTTGATAGATGTTTAATTTAATAATTAATAGTTATATATGACTTAATTAACTACTGTAATATTCTGATATTTTCACCAAAGAGAATTTTAACGAGTTACTTCTGAAAAATTTTTTCAATAACCATATATGTAGAGCTGGTATATATGAGATATCGGTCTCTTCTACTATCCAAATCACAAAGTGACAGGTTACAACAGTATTTATCATTTAAAATGAAAGATGTGAGAAGTAATTGTAAATCATTAATGTTTGTATCATTTAACTATCAGCTAATTTATTTCATATAATACTTTTACAAAAAGTATTTTCTTCTAGAATCGTAAAATATTTTAAAGAAATGTGGGCTCTATGAAAGAAAAATTAGGTCACACAGCAAAAATTCTATTCAGCAAATATTAAAGATTCCTATTAGTTACACTAGGAGAAAACGCTCAAAACTATTAAAGAGTATGTAAACGACTAAAAATCTATACGATATATCTTTGAAATAATTAATTTTTACACTAGTAATATGAAAAAATGATTTCTGTCACATAAGATTATATTACTTACATCAATAAAAATATACTATTCAATATAGAAATTTGTTTATTATTCATTTCAATTATTGAGTTGGCCAAAGTAGAATTAAGAGAACAAGTTTTAGTCGCAACTATAAATCTAACGTTTAGTGATTAAATAACCTTCTTCTAATTACATTAAATCTTTTATCTATTAAAGTAATTAAAAAAGATCTTTTTGTTATTCGTCCCCCATTTCCTTTACCAAAATATACATTAAAATAATTAACAAGAATTACATTTCCAAATGAAATCTCTCTTCATTCTCACTCCTTTTCCTTCTTATCCTCCACCCCCTTTCTAGCTATTTCTCACAATTCTTCTTCACTCAGTCACTCAGTCACTTACTCACAGACACACACGCAAGCACGTTCTCTTCTGCCTTCCTTGCTCCCTCCTTCTCTCTATCTCCTTCTTTCTGCTCCTCTCTCTCCTCGCTTTTTCACCTTTTCTGTTCTCATTTTGCTTTAGAAACAAGCTATAAATAATTGAAAGGGTTAGCATAGATAAAATTGTCAAAGAATGAAAGTCAAAGGAAAAAAACGAATTGTTTTTGTGAAATGTAGCAGAAGAAGAGTAATTAATATTATTTTACTCAAGAAGAAAACATTCCCATATCCTTAAATAATTTCTAAATCTATTTCAATAAATTCAATGGATCTTTGTATGTTGCATTAAAAAATTAAACACTGTCACGTACCGGCCTTGGTTTAGATATATCTAGGATAAAGATGTTATGCCAGAAACGCTTTAGCTTAAAATTTTGAGCTCTCTTTATCTCTTTTTGTTTAACCATTAAAGGTTTGATGGTGTGGAATGATGAACTAGAAGTTCTGTTTAAGGTTTCAAGAAGTTTCTCTGTAACTTCTTACTGAAAAATAAAGTTACTATTATCTGTTGCAAATATTCTAACGTATCCGTGTTCTGTATCAATGATAAAGTTAATTTCTATTTTTTCTTTCATCTGTATTAAATTAAACAGGTAAATGAATCAAAGATGGAAAGGAATCGTTTGAAAGTGCATAATATAAACTGAAAATAAAAATATTATAAAGCCATATATAGATTAAAAGTTTTAGTAAATTTTTTTGACCGATTTCTATTTTTAAGTATGAAAAAAGACAATTGAAAGAAATTCTATTTTACCCCTTCGCCTTAGAAAGGCTTGAAAGGAAGATAATAAAATGTGAACTTAATAAAATGGTTGAAAAGAATCGAATTCACAGGAAATAATCTATTTTTAGCAGAAAGACTTTTCGAAAGAAGTCGATGTATAGTGTTATTAAGGAATATAAGTATATTTTATGAATATACAAAATATCCCAATAAAGATTTTTTAAAGTTTTCTTTATAAATATATATGCTAATGCTTTTATAGAAAAAACAACAATTTTTTAAAAAACACTACAAAAGGATCAACATTTTACAAAAATAAAAGAAACACAAATTTTTAAGATAACAATGATAAATCTTCTGTCTGCTAGCTTAAATGGATGGAAAAAATACTTATTACTTATGTTATAATTACGCTCGAAATTAAAGTGTTTCTCGGAATGTCAAATGAGTCTTTCTGTTAATGATTTAAGCTTTTTCAGACAATAAATAACAGCTATCGTAAACATATCATTTGCTGAGCAGACGAAGGTTAATTGACCTTGTTTAAGCTTTGTATACTACTGATCATTACAGAAAGTAAGCTACCAACGTTATGCCAAGGGTGATCCTGTACCTTAATATTCCAGGAGATGGCGTCCTAGGAGCATCTTTTTATAATATTTTTTTAAAATTTCTCTAAATATCAGATGGAATTGGTTGATATATGTTGAAATGTTGTTACTAATTGTTGATTTTACAATGGGACCAAATATTTTTACAACTAACTTGTTATGCTTTAATACAATACAATAATCAATCTGCATACAAAATTTATATCTGTTAAATGTTAATTTATTAACATTCCATTATCATATTTTACAGCACGTTTGCTATTCAATACTATCAATTGTGTATTTTTGAAAATTTATTGGTACCATTATTACTATGAATAAAACATTAAAAAAATTTAATACATACAATCATTATCATGTAAAAATAATAATATGGCCAATAGAATAAAGTTATGATTTATAACATACCAATCGATGAAATCCTAGACGTACCGTATATACACAAGTATACTCTATAAATGTATAGTTTTTTTTAATGAAAACTATATAGCACCATACAATAAAGCTAGACCCAATACTTGTTCGTATGCAAAACAGGGTTAGTAGTTCTGCAATGCTGCAACAACTCAGCATCAACCTTTTGCCAGTCGCTTTCCGTTTTTTGGCTACACTCCTCTTTCTTTAGCATACTTGCACTTTCTTTTCTAGTTGGAACTTGATTTTGTTTTTGCTTCTTTCGCATCTTTACACATTTAATTATTACAAATGTTAATATAGTAACCAAGGCTACCGCACAAACAATTATAACAATTAATAAATGTCCCTGACTAACAGAGTCAGACTCTTCTTCACTATCTGTTTTTTCCCTGGGCGTGGGTCTAATTTTACTGTCAGTTTTTTGGTCTCTCTCTGTAGACAGAGTGCTTAAATGGGCTTTTGCAGTTGTTGGAGCAGTTGGTAAGATGGTAATGTTAAAAATACCTCTAACCGGTTGAGCGTATCTTGCAGAAACTTCGTAAATGAAACTATCTTTCTCTAGATCGTAAACCGTGTAAGATTCGAAAAATATTTTCTCCTCTACAAGATCTTGTTGTTTAAATTTTGATACGGATTCTGGGCTTCCCCTCATTCTTAATGAGCCTATTCGGGGTCGACTGATAATACGAAAGAGAGGATCATCGTTAGTTAAACTTGCCAGGTTAGCAGCGTTTAAATGAGCAAGAGTTATAGGCATTTGCTGATTAGAAACGGCTTGGAAGTCCTTTACGGTGATTTGAGATATAATCGATATTTTCAAAACATTACCGGCTATTTCGTTATATTCATCATAAGCGTCGAATATGAATGAATCGTTCCCTGATGACAAGTTTGTTTGAACGTACATTAAAAGATTTCTGTTTACATCCCATTGAGAGAACGATGATACAGGTGTATTTCTTAAATATAATTTTCCGTATTTCGGGGGTTTTGTTACGTTATACTGAACTATATTGGCAATTCCATTCGTCTTTGGTAAAATATTATCTTTGGTGATAACAATGGCTGATCTGCCTTGCAAAATTTTTACGTTGTTTAAATTTCGAGGATTTATCGATAACGTTAATGGATGAACAGTAATTATGCACGCAATATGGTCAGCGTGTCTATGTACTCCACCATCCGATACCCGAACTTGCAAAGCTGCTGTTTTAGGGCGACCATTTTGAACAAATATTAATCTTTGACTATTAATATCTCTCTGTGTCCAAGTAAGTTCCTCTTTATCTAGAGAATTCTCGAAGGCGAGATAGCCATTATCAGGTCTCTCAGTTACTGTATATATGATTTGATCACTTTCAGTATCAGGGTCTTTTATGTTAAAAGTTGATTGATTAACAACTGAAGTAAAACCAAGAATTACGTGTATTTCAGGATTAGTATTTAAGAGAATCCATGGTTCATCATTGATAGGTTTGATGTCTATATGAATAACTATTCCTAATCCTTTTGTGTTGTAACTAATTTTTTTATAATCTGCTGTCAAGACTAAAGTGAAGTTATCTTTTGTAGTATCAGAATCGTCGTGAATATATTTTACCCGCCCAGATAATAAATCGTCTCTGGAAAATGAACTTTTAGTTGAGATATTTCTATTATTCTTTGTTAAAACTCCATGAAATGGTTTACTTTTTATTCCATACATTATAGAAGTTGGATCGGAAATCTTTTTAACCAGCATGGTATCATCGAAGTGATCTTTTAAGACAAATGATTCACCTTCACTAATTATTATTGGTTTAATTTTTATTAATTCGGCTTGATTCTGATTTGTCAAAAAGTTGTAGGATATTCGAACAGATATTGGCGTATGAGCCAAATCTTGAGCAAATGGGGTACTTATATCCATTTTGGCCTCATCTCTGTCCATTGTTCTTACGGCGTCTGTATGCTTATAAGCTATATTCCCCATGTCTATGTCATATTGTTGGAAAGATGTTACCTCCTGATCCTGTAGATTTACAAGTCGTCCGTGTTTGAACTTTGATTGAATGTTGTACGTTATATTTCTTGCATTATCGATATCGTTTGTAATGGTCTTTAGATGATCTTTACTGCTTAAGATCGTTTTAACAAGGGGGAAGGCCAATATCACTTCATTAACTTGTAATGTTAATTCTAATTTTTTAACCTTGACCTTTAGTGTTTTTCTCTGAGTTCTATGCTTTCCGTCAGCTGCTATTAGGGTAAAGCTAGCCGAGGAACTTGTACTTTCATGAACATAAATAATTTGACCCTTGTTAATCTGATGTTGAGTAAAATTACTTAATCTTACATTTGGTTGAAATTTGTACGCAAACCAACAGTCGTCTGATCCATCCAGAATAAATATTGTTAGAAATTTTGGCTTAGTATCTTTATCTCTAACGTGGATATGACGTTTTCCAATTACTGTTTTTCTAAAATGCCAAAATTTAATAGTTTTTACATTCAGTTGAGGCCTTTTGTCATTCAAGCTCTTTATTTCGACATGAAAGATTGTGGGATCGGACGTTTGAACATTCTTCCTGCTTCTTTTAACCAACAAGGTAAAATTATCTTTTATAGTATCGGAGTGATCATGTAAATATGATATATCGTTTCTTTGAATATCATTCCAGTTGAATTGATATATTTTGATGTCTCGCTTACCAAGATAATATATTTTACCGTGAATTGGTTGTCGAACTACTACAAAATCCAAATCAATTAGAGAATCTGTCTTAAATAGATCGCTTGTTAATTCAGTATAACTTCCTTCCTGGACTTGTAAGACTCTAGAAGGCTCAAAAGGTATTAACATTTGTTCGATGTTGATTATAAGTTCAGTATTAATTGCTCGTATTCCATTACTGACCCTAAATCGTAAAGAATCCTTATTGCTGCCTTTCCGTCTGTGTTCGTAAAGTACTAGTTCATCATTTATGTCCTGCTGAGTGAAAGTTTTTGGATTATGTCTAGCACCTCTCCGACCGCGTTTGAGTAATAACCTGCCGTGTCTAGGATGAACTTCAACTCTATAGCGTATTTCATTAGGTAATGTTTGAGAATGTTGAATCTCTAGGATATCTCTTGTTATTATTTTACTCCCCTGTTCGTAAACCCTTAGGGATTTTAAGGCAATAATTCTTGGTGGCATTTGCTCAACATTTAAAAAAACACGAATTTCGCATGTTCCTTTAGCCATTAGTTTTCCTGAGTAAATTGCAAAATCAAAAGAATCTTCTTTTAGATTTTTTCCATAATGCTTGTAAGATACTAAACGATTTTGAATATCTGCAAAAGTAAACTTCCCTGTATGCTCATTTAATTTAAGAATTCTACCATGATCAGGTCGTCTCTCTATTCTAAAATAGACAGCTGAATAGTTGAGATCAAAATTACCAGTAACACTCAAATTATAATTTGTAATTATTATTTTTTGACCCTTGAAAACAGCTAAACCAGTATTATTATCTATTTTGATTAAAGCTTTTGAGGCTTCTATGTCAATAGCGCCCTTCGTATAAGATTGGCCATCTGTCACTGTGTAAACCAATCTACCAGTCGAAAAACTTCCAGTGTGTACAAATGCTATTCGTCCTTTATTAACATCATCTTGCGTAAAGGCGTATACTTTAGTTTTGTCGAATGATCTGATCAGATAACCAATTGCTGAATCATTCTTATTGATAGAGTATTGCAGTTGAGTATTATCTGTGTGCAGATCTGCATCTTCATAAGTGAGTATTTCAGGTGTTAATATTCTACTAGAATTTTGAACTACATGAAGAATTTTTGATTTTGTTCTGAGAGGCTTCTCGTCGTTTTTCATTTTCATTCTAATGATAAATGTATCAGTGAAGTTACTAATTTTGGTTCGTCTAGGTTCTTTCTCAGATTGAAGAGGAGTGGCTCTAAATTTAAATTCGTCGATCTCATTTTCACTATCGTCGTGTTCATAATAAAGCTTCTTCTTTATTAGATCATCCGTCGTAAAAGATTTAGAGTAGTAATCCTCGCTTCCAACTAGGTATAGCCTTCCATGCATTGGAGGTTCGACAAGGGAATAGACAAATTTTTTTGTATCGATAGTCATTAAACTTAATTCTTTTATTGTTATATTCCCTCTTCCACCTTCATTTACATTTCTTAATCCAGTGTTTACATACTTAACACCTTTCTCAATAGGCCTATAGGCAATTTTCAGCTTGTGTACAGAGCTGGAATTTCTATCTACGAAGGCTTTTATCTCGAATTCATCTTTTTGCTCCTTAAATAAAGCGTTGTTTAGACGATATTCAACGGCTCCATCGTTAAGGTCCTGCTGTGTCCATGAGGAATTCTGATCTAATTTAGCGTTGTCTAGCGTTAAAAAGCCTCTTTTCGGTGGCTTGATTAACGAAAATTTTAAATCACTAGGCTTATGTTGTAAAACGCTACTGACAGCTTTTATATGTTTGTTTGTTAATACTATTGAACCAACAGCACGTAGATCGAGAGATTTCGTTTTAAGCTTTAAAACAATAGACTCAATATGAATAAAGAAGTTATACTCAGTGCTTTCCACTTTCAACAGCTTCGTGTAGTATTTAAAAGAGTCCTTCTTAGGAGCAGGATATTTTATATCGTGCTTATACCGTATTAATCCATTATCTATATCGCTTTGCTTAAAGTGGGAAGTAGCTCTCCAAGTATCGTCTTCTCTCTTCTCGACGTGTCCATAAAGTGGTGCGTCGAAAATTACGTATTCAATATCAAAATGCTGACCGACCACATTTGTCGTAAACGAGAGATTTTGAGATGTTATTGCCAAAATATCACCAGAGTAGCAATATAAGCCGGTATTATTTTCGGATGTTAATTTTAGTGGCAGAGCTTCTATCTTCAAAGTTGATGTAGTAGATTGCTGACCATCTGACACTTGAACACTGATATATACTTTTTTCTCACCTCGGTGTGAATAAGTTACTCTACCGGCATTAATATCGGCCTGAGTAAATGTATCTGTACTCCTTTCGTTTAATTCAAAGAAACCACTGTATGGCGTCTTATTCTTAACCCTCCAAATAAGTGACGACGGTGGGTTATCATTATCAGCTGCCCTCATTAAATCTTTTGTCAAAATAATCTTTGTGAATCTTATCATTTTAATAGATGAAGTAATGATAATTTTTGGTGGATCATTTCCCGGGGTAATATGAACGTTAAGAGTGAAGTAATACGGCTTTTTCAAGCGGAGAGGAAGGTTCATGGGTGAATGAGTTTTAAATTCTGCCGAAAAATCTATACTGTCCGCTCTATTTTCTGACCCATTATGTATGTAAGTGACTTTTGAATCTTTCAACTCCTCAGCAGTGAAAGCATAGTCATTCTTAAGAGATAAAATTCCAGGTTGGATATCAACGTTTATTCTACCGTATCTGGCTGCCGTGATAATTCTATAAATAATATTTTCCAAATTTAAACCAAGCATTTTTGGGTCAAAAGAAAGTGAAATGTGGTTTGGAGTAAGTACAGTTCTCTCTCCCTCTCTTACATTAACTGTTTGCGTTTGTATCAATTGCTTAGGAAGAAATGTAGGTTTGTTATTTTCAGAGTCACAAGGCCTATCATTCTCACAAACGCACATGTAATCGTAGTATGATATTTCCTTACAAACTTTTCCCAAACTGCAGGGTTTATCAGCGCATGCGTAAGTCCAAATACACTCTGGCCTTAGAAATCTAGATGTTACCGCCTCCGCAAAACCCATTCTCAAGCCATTTATGTATAGGTTGCTGATGCATCCTGTCATCGAGCCATATTGAGAATTGGGTTCCCTTATTGATAACAGATTTATTCTGATAGCATCTGATCGGGCTGATAACGATAACCCTCCGATGTATAGAACCTTTTCATCTATATCTAGGAATTTATTGTACATAAACTTAGCACGACGTTTCATCTCTTTCCCATCTACATTCAATTCGACTGAGTCAGCCATTACAGCAATCATGATATTATGAGCCCTTCCATCATTTATTTTCTCCTCGGATAATACATATATTGTTCCATGCCCCTTATTTACAGTTAGGTTTAATTTTCCATTGCTAATGAGTGAATTAGAAAAATGTAGAAGTACAATGTTGGACTAAAACGGTTTCTCGCAAACTCTTAGCTTTGTTTACCCTAATAAATCATCACTTTTTTATCGTGAAGTTTGTCATGGCAAACTAATCAAAGTATCTTTTAAATATGCTAGTTACACAGCTGTCTGCTAAAATCAACGTGACTTGTCAACTGAATAAGGAAGGCATACATAGCAATGTGAAAAATTGTGAATAATTATTTGTATTTTATCAACCATGTCTCCCTTTTATAAAGTGAAAATGAGATATTGATAAATTTGGTATATGAAGAAAGCTAGCTTAGCTTTTTCTTTCAATCGGACGAAGCTTGAGAAAGACAGCAAACAAGTCCTCTGATAATCTTTTCTACTATTCCTTATTTAGAGTAACGTAAATAAATTTTATTGATAAAAGAAGAGTCGAGAGAAGACGTAATTAATACCGAGTAACCTTTTCATTAAAAAAACCAGTAGAGAATAGTCTTCTTTTATTAGCTATATATAACTTATAATATTGCTTATGTAATTTTAAAAAGACTAGTACGAGAGTTTTAACGATACTTTTTCTTTTCCTGTCTACTTTTAGCACATTGATTGAATTTAATAAATATTATTTCTAAATCACTCACTTCAATTCTAAAACTGCTAAATCTCCAAGTTTGTATTGAGATTTCTCAGCCATATAAAATAAAATAGCTTCCCCCGATCTTGTTTTTAGAACAAAGTTCAATTTTAGAGTCTTTCTGTTTGCATTATAGGGCAAAGCTAAGAATGATGCATTTTGCATGAAGCTAATAGGTGTCCGACTATTCGCCAGTAATTCTGGAGAGCATTCCCAACTTACGCCAATAAGTGAATGGGATGATCTGTTAGATTCCTTTAAAATTTCAACATCGTTAAATACTATATTCCTAAAACATCCTCGATAAGCTCCACTAGTAATGGATGGCATATGATGAATTGTATTACCCAGAAATACACCCTTGTCTATATCCAGTTTAAAGAATTCGCCTTTGGTAACAAAATTTGCCGTTTGTACTTTGGAAATAGTCAAATGAACATCCGTTTTGGATCTACTGAGAGTTATATCTTGCCATTGAAGATCATTTAATTTGACTTGCGGATTGCTAGTGAATGTTGTCTCTCCTCCTCCCATCTCAATTTGTATATTAAGTCGACCATTTTTTAGTGATAGGATCAAGTAATCCTTTTTACCTGCCGCTATGAATAAAACACAGTTTCTTCTTCTTGTTCTGAACGACATGTGTAATTTGCTATTTTCACTACTACTTTGCAGTGGTAGATTAATAGAACTATCTCCATACAAGGACACTAAAATTAAAGAAAAAATATGCAGTATATGTGCAAAAAGAGGACATATAAGATAAAATTTATAGTATTGTGCATATTTTTTATAGCATTCAGTTAACATTTATAATGAATGAACTGTAAAATAAGAAAAGAATAAAGAAATCAAACATATATGTATTTTATACTCTCAGATTTGGTTCAATCAAATAGAATCGAAAAGTTGTGAGTCTTATACTTTTTATTCTGATTTTTTCAACAAATTTTCAGCATTTTACTAAATTCATTAATTTTCACTTTTTCTTTACAGATAAATAAACATTAAGGATTTCGTAAGGTCAACTTTAAATTTTATACGATATTAGGGAAATTTACGACTCAGTATATGAAATTTTTCCAGTATGTTAAGATATTAAATACTCTTTGATATCATACTTTTGGACGGAACATTAATTTTTCCTATAATCTATCATGTTCACTAAAATGATACGTTTTCCCTCAATAATATAATGGAGAGGCCATTAAAAAGAGAATATTTAAAAAGAAGCTTCTCGCCCTTTTTTCAGACTTCATAAGTTTGTGTATAATATTATTACTAGGTTAATAACGAATCAGCTAATTTATTAACGCTTTATTGCTTTAACCCTAGATAAGGTTAAAAGAGTTAGGCTTACATCGATTGTTTAATGTTTATGCTAAGAATAATTGGCGCCAGCCGTCTGTTGGTGTAGATTTCTGGTTAAAACTAAGTAGATTTATTTAGAGAGAGAAGGAAATGAAAAAGTTAATAGATTCTCACTACTAATTCCTAAAGGGGAATGTTACTATAATACCGAACGTCTCAATCGTCTTCAAATAGCATCTCATTTCCGTAAGATAAGACCTAAATCTTGGATTGTGTGCCTAAAGGTGTGTATATTTTAGCAGCAACGCAGGAAATCAGCATCAACTATGCCACTCTGTTCAAACAATATAGGAAAAATTTTTGATGGTCTATTTGTGATTTTTCGTATATATCCAGTTTGAAAAAATAATAATCTGGCCAGTATCTAGGCCTGATTTGATATTCTTGTAATATTTTTATAACATCGATAGAAGCAAAGGGATAAAGAAAGCAAATCAAATCACCTATCTTAATAATTCTTAGAGAGACAACTAATAAATAATCTTAACTGTTATCAACTATCTGTTATCGATATCAACAATTAATTCTAAGTATCCTATGAATATTTTCACTATAAAAGGTTTTGAAGAATAAAAGGAAATGATAAAAAATTTACTGGAAACTGGGAAAGAATCAAAAGAATTAATCTTAAATGCTTGAGTTAAAATCGGATGAGTAAAGAGGGTGGGAGGCAAATAAGGGAGGTTGGTTTTTTTAACAGTGAATTCTTTTAAATAGAAGAGAATTTTTGTGTCCTAATTACTCTTATTTCAAATATCTAAAAATAAAAATAATAAAATTAGAAATACGCCATAATAAACAGCAGAAAGCAGTTGAGAATAAATTACAATTTTCCAACAGATGTTACCTAGAGAGTACCTAGTTCACCGACATTTTATAAAAACTTTTATTAATTATACTATAACTAGAATTCTATCTGTTTTATTCATTTTATCTCATTGTCTAATAAAATGAAAGAATTGTCTATAATTAACATAGTAGAATATTCAGATATATATATATATATATATCTTAATAATAAACTGTATATATGCCATACTTAAATCTATTTCAGTTTATATATAAATGCATTATATGTTTTCAGTTTTGTCCGTATCTTTCCAATATTATTAATTAGTACCTATAATTGTGTTTGAAAGTTGATAATATATGCCTTAGCATAGATTTTGAAGCTTATAAAATGTTCTATGACGATCACATACGAATATATTTTTATAATTAGACTAAATTTTTACAGTCCACATTTTTAGATAATACAGTAATTATATATTGATATAATACGATTAGCAATAGTTCTTACCTTCATTCTGAGTACTACCGATTGTCAAAGAGGAAAGAAAGAGTAATGGCAGCAATGCGCTCTCCATTCGTTTTTACATATCGAAATAGCGAACCGTAAAAAATATTTTTTTCGCCTTAGCAGAATGCTGCCTACTGCACTGCCAACGTATGCAGCATACTATCTGGCGCTATAGGTTATCATTACTGGCGCTTCGTAAAGTTGCTGAGCGTATATTTTTCTTTCTCTTAACACTTTGCAAGTGAGTTTAAACGTCTTTCACAATGGACAATCCGAGCAATCAATCAATATTCAATACAAAGAGCAACAATTTGATAAAGAGAAAAAGAGGAAAAATTTCTCGATCAACATTTATACTACCCTGTGGCGAAGTTTATTAATATTATAAGGAAGTGGAAAAAGTGCGCTCTTTTGTTCTCCATATTTACCAAGTTACAAGTAGCTTTGTCAACTTTTTCACTTTCCAAAGAGCAGTTACAAAATATGTAATATTCTTTCTGCTTCCTTTGCCACTTGAGTTTTCACAATGTTTATTATCAATAAATTGTCTTTACAGATAAACCTATATAAAGAGTATAGAAAGAGTTAATTATTAACACGGGATAAAGTAAATAAAAAGAGATTTTATTTCAAGGGATTTTAATATTTAAGAATTAACATATAATATGTATCATTATAAATTGATCAATAAGTGTAAGTAGACATGAAAAGGTTACAGTATAAAACGGTAGCTCGTTTTAGATAAACATGGCCTAAGAATAACGAATCCTTATGTGTATATAAAGAGAAAGAAGGCTAGAAAAATAGTCTCTGGTTGAAATGTTTTCTTTCCATAGAAAAAATCAATGTTTACTATATGTCTATTTTCAGTTTCAAAAAATACGAAAATAGCATCTAATTGTTTAGGTATACAAATAAGATTAATCATAGTAACTTATCGTTTTACGAAGACTGTATATAATATACTCATTTGCTTATATTGTTCAGCAACATAAAAAAAACGATATTCTCTTACATTTTTTCTTTAAGTGTTGCGATGAAAACTGGTAGAAAGGTTAAAGAAAAACTTTCTTGTCACCTTTTAGTCAGCAAAATCAGTTTTATTCTCTTTAAGTGAAAAATTATTTGTTCGAAAAAATATTATTAAAATATAAATTAACAACTAACAAAGTTTATAGCAATTGTATTTATAATAAAAATTTAACATGAGCATTAAAAGAATTAGATTTGACAGTCGGATCTAAATCTTTAAAAACTCCAAATTTTCTTTAACCCAAAGGCTAAGAAATCTGGTACACTTGTTCATTAGTTTGAAACTGTTGCTCATGTTATCCTTCTACTGCGTATAATTACCTGACAAGCCCATTTACTTGTCCTAGTTTCGTAAAGTTCACTAATATTAGACAACATGGCTATAATTTAGTTCTAAAATCTAGTAAAGAAGTGTAATATTACTTTTAACTTGTAAAAATATGACTTCTTGGGTTTTGCCTATAACGAATTCCTAATTTGTCATTATATCATATGAATTAGTTTATATAAAATTCATTAAACAGGAATAAATGACACAACCCGAGAGTTTACTTTTAATAATATTTTGTTAAAGGAAAATGTACTTTTTATTTTAAAAAATCATTCTTTTGTAATATACTACTTACGTAATCGATATTCGATATGAATTATAGTTAATTATTAATTCTTGTATGTGATTAATGCTACTAATATACAACTTGAAATATTTGATATTCATGCGAAACAGAAAAGAAAAATTGACAGATTAAGGTTAATTTAATGAGTTGAGAGAGAAATGTTCCTCGATCAAGGCCGGTAAGAAGAAAAGAAAGAAACAAAGAAATAAAAATGAAAGATAATAAGAGAATTTAAAGATGAAAATTAATAAGAAGAAAGGCAAAATTTTTTTAAAGATTTTTATCAATTTATGTGCTATTTGTTTTAAAAAACATAATATAAAATCTTGTCGAAAACAGAGTAAACCTATAAAAAAGACCGCAAGCTAGTTACTTAGCCACCTCTTAAAAAATCATTAAGTAGACTAATGCTTCTACAGGAAAAGTCTTTATTCGTTCCATTTAGCCAAGTTGCGTCTGTTTTTATTCCTGTCAATAAAAATTCATAATATACATGTAATTTTGGCACCAGTCACGAAACTTTTTTTCAGTGTCAGTTTCTTTCTTTAAAGGAAATATTCATTTTCTTAAAACTTCCATTTTACACATTTATCTAAATTTACAATATTTTCAAGTTGTGCACAAGTTAAATTGACAAACATTGCAACTTTTGTCCTTTCAAAAAATACATTAATTATATAAATGTTTATACATCACAACATACATATAAATATATTATATACTGTATATCTAGAAAATAGTATTTATATATAAATATATTTGCTCAGATGTATTCATTACATTGCTATTATATATATATATATCTTGAACTTATTTTTGTACAAAAAGAAGTTAAGATATGATTTCAGTCAGTTCTTCTGAAAGAAACGATTTTGAAACCAGTTCTTATTCATCTTTTTTTTATTGAGTATAGGGCTCTCTTTTGGGCTACACGTTTCTGATACATTTACAGTAATTGCATTTCGACAGAGGGCGCTTACATACATCTTTTCTTCAGGTATATTTTTTTTAAATAATTTCCATTTTACTGTCTTCAATGCTGGAAATTTAAAAATTTTTGTAGATGATCTTGTATCGGTTTTATTAGGAGAAGAAGGTAAAGATTTACAAATGGGTTCGTTATGATAACTCAGGAATGATTCTTTGTCAGCTTCATAGGTAAATGCTCTAAATCTGGTAGCTGGTTTTCTCTCAATTTCAGGAGTATTTGGTATTTCTTCGGAAGTTCCTTGAGAAGATAACGATTTATAATCAAACTTCTTTATCATATCTCTTAGTTGTTTACTTCTCTCTGCAACTAAAGCTTCCATTATATCAAGTCGTTCGGCACCTTCCACACTTTGGGAGTCTATTGATACAGTTGACGGTAGCTTGATACTCTCAGCTTTTTCTAAACATTCTTTGACAACTGCTTTAATTGGTTCGCAAACTTGTAAATTAGAAGATATTGCTGATTTTCGAACAAATTGTGGAGAGTGATATTCAATTGCAGGAATCCTTTCGAGCTTTGGCCTAGAAGCTCGTCTTTCTGTGGAAAATTGAGGAACGATTTCTTCTATTAAGCTGGCGGAGAGGATGTTTTTCTTGCCGTTTTCTGACGATGTTTGTGTTTGTTTTGAGGCTCTACTCGTTTCCAGGGAGGCTGTAGTGTAAATAAATATTTGCATGGAAATTCACCAAATGTCTAAATACTATTTAAGAGCTATAAATTACCGTTGATCGTTCTGGACAGTTGATTTGTAAATAAAATTGACTTTTCAATGAGTTTTGAACATTTATCTAAAAAGTTATTATCATAACGTTCGCTTGTAAGAAGTGTAAGCGATGATACTATTGACATTTCTCTTTCTTGAGACTGATAGAAAAAAAAATAAACTTATTAATGTTATGTTTAGTTAACAGAATCCTAGGGTTGAAAGTCCAAGCTAAATTGAATACCGTGTGAATAAATTACATGATAATAAACTGTAAAGAGCAATGTAATGTTAAATAAAAAGTAGATTATATTTTAAACACAATATATATATATACAATGTATTATGAGAGTAATGCATTTGCTTTTATTTTAATAACTTACAGCATATTTGTTTAAATTACAATCTGATTTGTTCCTTTTCCATAAATAAGCGCCTTCTCTTCTTCGCATATAATTGCCAAATGCAACGCCTTAAATTTAGTTAGCAAATAATTAAATAGGTTTAGATAATACTTAAATTATGTGTGTACAAACATTTATTTAATAATCGAAGTTGACAGTGAGCATTCTTAAGGGCAATAATGTGTCTTTTGGTTAATTTAATATTCAGCAGATTCTGTTAAAAAGAAAGAAAAAGTAATAAATACAAATTAGCCCAGTAGGTCCCTCTTGCGTAGAAAAACCTTACAATTTTTGTGGCCATCTTCAAAATATCTGCAGTAGTTGCATGACTAACTTTAGGTGCTGAAAGAAATGTTGCAGATGTGTTGTTTTAAAATGTTTAATATATCTATAAACAATAAAGAGTGTAAATGAATGAATATTGTTTTATTAACCTGAATCAAAACGTTCTAATAAACGACTTAATTCTTCAAGGGAATTTTCTAAATCATATAAATCTTCTTTACTTTCCTTCTTATCAAAACTAATCAACCTCTTTCCAACCTTTTCAATATCGGTTTTCAAAACATTCGCTAAATTATTAGCTTCATTATCGAATAGTGAACCAGCAAAATATTGCTCCGGTTTTGAACTATCCGCAACGGTCATTTGTTTTGGTAGAGAATTTACAGTTCTTATTAAAGTTTTGTCAGGAGATGCAATTGACATGGCGATCTCTTCAACTTCGACGCTTTCCTGAGCATGCTCTAATTTTGTTCGTCTATTTGGTATAGGCGATATAGATCTACTGTCAGTTTCAACAAGCTGTTTCTGTAAGAGATATTACTTAGATATTATATCATTTAACAGTTGGGCATCCTTTATCATTTTACCCACATTATTTAGTTATCTTACAGAAAAAAAACAAAATGTTAGATGCAGATTACGTAGGCCTACAATCTTTTAAGTATCCAATTGTTTAAAGCAAGTAATGCTAAACGACTTTGGTTTAACGATTATTTTAGTGTTGCTTAATAAAATAATTCAAAATATACATATGCTATAATAAAACTGATATATAAACAGTTTCTGTATATACCTGCCAATTGTGATATTTCTTAGCGAATTCTTGGCTTAGACCGTGACATAAAGCCTCTTCATTAACGCTTATCGTTTCCTTTAATCTTTCTAGCTTTGCTTTCTCTTTTTCGATCTTTAACTGAGCTCTTTCAATTTTTTGCATATCTTTTGAAACCATTTTCTGATATTTTTGTCTCTCTTTCGACCTTGACCTTCCGTTCTAAAGATACGAAATAGTACAAATATTTCAATATTGTAAATGCTAAAGTTTTCACAACCTCAGCAGCTGGGTTTAAATAAGTTTGTTCCTTAATTCTTTCCCATTCGGCAACTTTTTTACTAAAATCTTCTCCAAGATTTAATGGCTGTCTTTCTTCGCTAGTATTACTATGATTAGAGATCGTATCTACAGGTGGAGCTAAAGTTTTTGGAGATTTTTCCTTCTCAACTAAAAAAAGAGATAGTAAATATACATTAATTATCTAAAAATTTATTTTTTAAATTTGGTTGTTTCATTTGATTACCTAATGCTTTTTTCTTTTCCCATTCGTGCATCTTTTTTATAAATTCTTGAGAAAATGAATCTTCGTGCTTTAATACGGCTATTAGAAATTTAAAAACAATATTTTTTCAACAAATAAACATTGTGATGTTAACAAAAATATTTTAACTTTCACCGTGTTGAGCAGAATTTCTTCTGTTATCCCATTCCCCGATCCTTTTTGCTAGATCGGCCGTTAAAAAATCTACAATACATAAATTGAAACTGACTTTATTAATGAAAACATAACTTATAGAAATACTTTGAATTCCGCCTCTTTCATCGGATGGAAATGCTGCCAGAGATGTCCGGGTTGGCCTAGTTCGAGCTGTAGCTTGTTTTCTGACAGGTTCATTTGAATTGTATGTGGAACGTCTGGCTGGAGGGCTGAGGAGAACTATATGATCTATTGTTCTCTTCTTGTTATCATTATCTCGGATATATTCATCACCCTTAAAACTTCCTGTTCTTCTAAGTGCTCCTTTTACTCTTTTTAAGGCACTAACAGCTGATTTTAAACTGCCGCTCCTTCTCAGAGGAGAACTATTCTCCTCGACATACAATGAAGGGGATGATCTTCGCCGGAGTAGCCTTCCCTCTTCTCCATAAACAGTAATTGTAGGCGAGGGTTCGGCTGATGACATTGAATTTTCTAAGTTGTTAAAATCCGAATGTGAACGGGATTTTGTGATTTCTGCTTTTAACGATTTCGAGCACGATTTCGAAATAACAATCTCTTTTGCGGATACAACATGTGATAGAGCTCTTTCGGGAGCTAATCCAGCTCGCACTTTTCTTGCCCACTTTGAGAGTCTTCTTTTTGAGAATTTAGCCTCACGTCTCTTTCGTCGGCTATCACTATCCGACCTCTGTTTAATTTTAAAATATATTTTTTAAATTTGCAATTAATCATCAAGTCTATTAGTGAGGTTAAATGTTTTAAGATTGGTATCTTTTTATTTATACAGTAACAGTTTGTAAGAATGGTAAACAATGGTGAAAATACATACCTGCAGTATATCATCTATATCTATGCTCCCTGTACTTTGACTTCTTTGATGGAGTTTTTGGACTTTTTCTTCTTTACCTTTATTGAAGGAAGCTTTTACTTTTGTGCTTTTGGCTCGCATCTTTTGTAAACCCTTATTCCAAATTGAGTTCTGATCGTGATCTTCTTCCGGTGAATAAGGAGAGGACGGTACATTATTCCTTATTCTACAACCTCTCAGGCAGTCGCATTTTTTTTCTAGTTCGCTCTTTTTCCAAGCCAACTTTGAAACTTGTTCGACGAGTTTAACAACCGATGCAAGATGTTCCATGCCCTTTAATTTTTCCTTTATTACGTAATCGTCGACGTAAGGAATTTCTTGATACTGTGTTGAGTAGTGTTCAAAATCGCGTTCGAAATCATTCAAAACATCCTCGGAAGAGTGAAGAAAAAAATTAACGGCTTCTTCCGCCATTTTTTTAAAAACTGAAAGCGGAAATAAATGAAAAAAGTTTATTCCTCTAGCAGAAAAAGGCTGAGTGTACTCTAAGTAGTCCGACACAACGCGAAAGTTGCTATGGTAACGGAAGTTTTTATCTTAGAAATAGTAGACATTAACTACAACGAAAATTCGAGGGAAAGCGTCTTATTCATAGTCTATTATTTTTAGAATATCTTATCGATTATATTCCTCTTTTAGAAAAGAAAGTTTGTTTTTTTTTCTAAATTTTTATTTTTTTAAAGAATTTTAATTTTTTGTAGTCTGTAAACAATTTATTATTTTAACAGCTTCAGCGTTTTTTCTCGCAAGCTATGTTATCTAGGTTAGAAGATGAACTTTGGGTTAACTTAGGATAAATTATTTCGAAATGCTATTTCTAATAAATAGAATACATTATAATTTATCATACCTGTTCTTTTTTTCAGGTTTTTTTTCACCAAAACAAACTCATATCTTTAACTATTTACACAGGCGAAGAGTTAACGTTGAATAAAAAATGAGGGCAACCTTATTTTTTTTCTATACGCCATCTTGTGGGTAATCTTTTTTCAATTATCTCTATTACTTTCTTCTTCTGTTATAGGTTCATATAAAGTATATAGAGATATATCTTGTACTAAAATAACGTACTCTGAATCTAAAAAAGCGCACCAACAACAGGTGGAACTAGTTATTCCATTGGAATAGAGCTACAAAGTATGAAAAGTAACTTTAAAAGGTAATCCTTGTTTAATATTTAGGCAAAGAGGACTTCAAGAGCTTAAAATATAACGAATGTACAAGAGGAAAAATAAGAAAACCTATTCGACAATAATCAAAGGAGTTGAAATATACAAGAGAAATTTGTGATAAATGGAGAAAGATTTCGAGCTTCTTCGTATTTTAAAAGGGCATTTATAGTACACACAAATGTTCTGCATTGTCTATTTCTAGAAAGAAATTTCAGTTCTCTTCCAGGAAATCATTATGATTTACAATGAAATTGAAAGTAAATGTTGAAAGAGAAGTCAATATTACCTATACGAAAAATGTCTTTATATCCGTTTCACGAAATACTCTTCCTCCCCGCTTCCATGTTTATCTGTTTTTGTAACAAACAAATTAAAAAAACCCAAACTACTATCCAGAACAGTTAATGTTTATTATGCAAACACAATAGGCCTAATCAAAATCTATGTTTTTTCCTAAGATACAAACCATTACTTATCAATCATTAGAGCGGAAACATTTTTTAGCAGTTTTACTGCTGTTAGGCATCAGTTGTTACTAATCTTTTTCGAACTCTGGACAGAAACTTTTCCTGGGAAAAGGAATTTCCATAGTTGTATTTCAAATTCTTTAATCATTGACGTGTAACGGATGGCTACAGATGTTTACAGCAGTTTTATAATTGATTGAAACAAAACATACTGATCTTTCAACCCTTTGTAAAGCTTGTTTGTAATTGCTGCTATTATATTAAAGTGCTTCATAAAAAAAGATACAAACTATTTAAGTTATTACTAAAAAACTATGAAGCAATATCAAATATTCTTTCTTCTCAGATAGGAATAATTCATATATTTCTTTCATTAAAAACTGCAAATTTTAACATTTTTTTCATACGTTTTTCCTTTTCATTATCTTTAACAAACTATTTGTTTGTCATACAATAATATGTTAGTTTTTGTGTGAACTTTATGAAGAGTCTTTCAACAGACTTCTCTTTTTTTGTTGTTGAGAATCACGCTAAAATGCCTTTTGTCACATTTATAACATGAAATGAAAAAGAATTTGGTAAATAATTAAATAAATAAACCAATTTCTTGTGTTTTCTTTAAAAAATGATAAATATATTAGAAAATTTTCTATATTATAATAAATAGCAACAATACACTGTTCACTTAATGAGCTGAAAGGAAAAAGAAAACAGTTTTGAAACTAAGCTTAAGCTTTTATACTCTTTGTTTTAGAGGTTCTTGCATTTGTTAAAAGGCTCAAGCTCACTGATGACTAATACTCATATACTACTCCAGAAGAGTGAAATACATTAAAAATAGACAGAGTTGTTTGAAATATACTTCGAATTAATTAATACAGCAACACTTGACTCATGAATCCACACAATAAAATTATAACACTATTGCTACTATATAACTTAAAGTTGTTAATATCCCGATATAGGTTATATCAAATCCTAGTGTCAGACTATGCTGAATACCATGAAAATCTCAAAAATGCATAGTGATATAATATGCATGTACGGTGTACATTTATTATCTACTGTATATAATATATATATAAAGTATATATGTATTGGATACATCATAAATAAATAAAGAAAACTATACTTTTATATAATTTATATGAATCATTTCCTTTCACTTATTAATCGCTTTAAGCAGTAAAACATATTTATTATTTTAATCCTAATTTATTAATTGTTGATAAGAATATAGGCATTTGAAGTCTATAATTATTTCTATTTTTGTAGCTTATATACTATACTAACTTTAAAAATTTACTGGTCCAAACTAAAAGAAAGCTTATCCATTAGCCAAGCCAACCAGTCCGAACCCTAACAGCCGACTAAGCCGAGAAATCTTTCATAGATATCCTCTAGGCCTGTTTGAATCATCACCTGTTGTTTTTCGCCTTAATGCAACGCTTCGGGCCGGTGTTTTCAATCATGCTGAGATTTTTTCCCAGTTTCCTACGGGCGATAAGAAGAACTAAGAATGGTGGACGAGCGTGTTAAAAAATTTATTAGAATTATTAAAAAACACTGATGTTTTCTTTTTTGATAAGTATTTCCATTCATTTCATTATTTTTATCGTATAAAGAAGACTCTCTTCAAAATAGAGTATGGTTGGAATGCTTGTTTATATTATATAAGAGGGTTTTGTGTGATTTATTGGCAGAAAAGTTTATGCTCTTTCAACTGGAGTGCTTTATGGCTTTTTGACTTTTTAGAAGAGTAATTTATGAGTTAAAATGAAACCAAAGATTTTAAATAACGAAAGGGTGTTGAAAAATATCAAAACATAGTTTAATAAAATATCTTATAGACACATTTCTCTTCTCGTAATTTTCTTATCCAAAAACCCTTTTCTCAATCGTTTCATTTTAAGAAAGTAGTTTTTAAGACAATTAATTATGAGAGTAATCTGTTAATCTCATTGGACAAAAAACCTGAAGAATTTATAGAATTTGAATTTTTTTATGTAGAAATCTTACTCATATTTTACATTGCCATCATTTTCTTTCTCTGCTGTTTCCATCTCGATTATATTTTGTAATATTAGGATATGAATATTGTGAAGTGACAGTAAAAAAGACGTCATAAGTGACCTATTCGTGAAAAAATAGATCTATATTGTTATTTATAGCACTTAGTTGAAAGAAATGAATACTATTTATCTAACGGAACTTTCTACCTCTCTATACTACTTGTAAAAATATTTTTCCATTTTAATTAACAGGAAATTATTCATCATATTCATTTTCATTAGCTGTTTTCTATTAGACTTTTCCCAATTGCTATTTGAAATTATCTTGAGAAACATTTTCATTATTTATTTTAACTTATTATTATGAAATGTAAGAATATAAATATTGATATTTATTTAAAACCCTAGCTTAAAAATGTTCTATTTTTAGTGTTATTTTTATACATAATTAGAGCAAGTTAAAAATTATTTATTAGATATTATTCATTTTTATCAGTTTATCTGATAAATATCATTTATAAGTTCAACTTCTCTGGGAGATAGTATCCGCATATGCCAGGTTCTCGACCAGCAACAATAGAAAATGCGACTCTTTAAATGTTTTATAGCGATTCTTAGTTTTTCCGTTACAGTTCTAAGTAAAATTTCTTTATAAGAAGAAATATCTAGATTGTTTTAAAGTTACTTATTTGACTTCACAGGCAAGGGGCAAGAAAATGGATGTGTTGATTTTATTAATATCGGAGATTGGGGTGCGATTACAGGCATCGGACAGCTTCCTATTGCTGAAGCTATGGCCAAATACGCCGATGAAAATCCAGTTGATTTCGTATTAACTAGTGGTGATAATTTTTATCCCGATGGAGTAGAATCAGCAACTGATGAGCAGTTTGATTCAAAATGGAGAGATGTCTACAATCAACCTTCGTTGAAAGAACTAACGTGGTATATTTCCGTAGGAAATCATGATTATGGCTTGAAAAATGGAAATGAATGGTTTCAGATAGAGTTTGGCAGAAATGAATCAAGATGGTACTTTCCTGACTTATGGTATACTTTTGAAAAGGAACTATATAACAATAAGAAGATAAAGTTCATTGTTTTAGACTCTCAAGCATTTAGAGCTCAAGAAAATAATCCTGAAAGTCAAACAGAATTCCTAAAAAGTGCGCTGGAAAATAAAGAGCATTGGACATTTGTAATTGCTCATCATCCAGTTTATAGTGCAGGTAGACATGGGCCAATTCAAAATACTATTAAAAGAGATATATTACAACCTATTGCTGACGATGGCTATAATGTCGATCTCTTTATCACTGGTCATGATCATAACTTACAACATTTGAAATTTATGAACAACACGAATACTGAATTTATCGTAAACGGAGCAGGTGGAGCATTCCCTTATTTTCTAGATGAGGATCACGTAGGAATTCTTCAACAAGAAGGCATCACATTAGAAAAATTTGAAGATGCTTTTGGCTTTTTGGCTGTTCATGTGTGCGAAAATGAAGTCACTCTAAAATTTGTAGATGATGACGGAAACATTAATTATACTTATGTAAAGGCAAAACCTTAACTTTTCAGTTTACATGTTTGTCTTAATAAACCTGATATAATTTAAGCCTAATCACCTATGGGAAATACTTGGAAATAAAGGCCTTATACTAATCACTACCAAGAAAGTGATAACTGACGGTGACCAAGTGTGTCACAACTTTATCATCTATTTATATTCTAAGAAAATAACGTTAATTTTAATAACGCTTTAATTCTGTTCTCCTCATTTAAATAATACTATTTGAGGGCTTTCTGTTAAGCGCCATCTACAATTTTTTAGTTCATCAATTATTGTTATCATTCCAAATATAAAATTCACTGTTATCAAGAGACTAACATGCGAAGTTTAAAAAAATAACACCAATGTATATAGTAAATCATTTTGGTAAATTTCAATTTTTTAGGGAATTATCTTTCACCGGATTAAAAGGTTATCACCTTAAGGTGTGAGTATCACATTTAGTCATTAAGGTCAAAAAGGTTTATCTATATGGAAAGATTATGCTAAGCTTGCTAAATTGAAAAATATTAAATTGTATTCTATGTGCTGTAATAACAATTATTATAAAGGTAGTAAAAAATTCTTTTCATTTGATTGATCGATTCCTCAAATAACTACAAAATATTCTGGAAATATAGCAAAAACTGAAAATGAAAATTTGTTGCTTTTTTATATATTGTCAAAGTAAAAATTTCTCATAAGGGTTATAGGTTAAAACTCATTAAATTACCTAATTTATTATTTGTTATCGCTTTAAACCATCTAATGTTTTTTTTTATAAATTTTCTTCGAAAAAAACGTCCTCTTTCATCTTAGCCATTTTTAATCAACCAATAAATAAAGAACACATATAGAATTTCATTGACGTAGCTCATTTGCCTAACGCCAACTAGTGCGTAAATAAACAAAGTTATAGGTCTTCTCCATGTGATTGCAATCGTTTTAATGAATTTTGCTATTTACGGTTACATAACTAGAGCTAGAGAGGAAAATTTACATTCATAAAAGGTTTTATTGTAATATCAACTACATGAACTATTATGCAAAGTAAGCAGAGTTCATCGACTCCTCAACATTCTATTCAATATTTTGGGTTAGTTTGTTGAAAACTTTATAATAATGAAAAGCCGCTTAAATTATGTTAAAAAGGTCCCAACGAGACTCAAAACGAAGTATGAATGAAGATGAAAAGTATCATTCTGTTATTTCAGTTAACCTGAAAAAGCAAAATATCCTCTGCCAAATGAATTTTACTGATACTACTAAAACTACTTCTAAGGAATGGAATTATTTTTTCCGAGGTCAAGGAAAAAATAGGGAATGGACTGTTCGTCCTGAGATTTCTCCAACAACTAAAGGAATTATTTAAAATTCATCAATTGGATATTGTATTCATTTGACATGTTTCTACTATACAACAATATTTTCTAAAATAGCTTATGACAGTTCTTCTCTCAACGGAATTGTTTTTGCATCGTTTCAAATATGCTTGATAAAAATATACAGGATAAAAGTTATAATATCTAACTAAACGTAAAATTTTAAACATATAATAAACGCTAAAGAAATGGAAAATTGATAAAAGAAAGAAATTTTTCAGCCCTTCAATATTCTTTCTCGTCGTTTTTTGCAGTCACGTTTCACTCGAGGCATATTCTCACGCTTTCGACCTATTTGATAAAAGCGAGTAATATTGGATTTTTTATATTGTTCTTTCTTTTATCTCTTCTTCTATTTTAGTCGATTAGTTTATCAGACTTTATTGAATTGTTTATTTCTTTGCCATTTTTAGCACTTCTTAACAAATCTCTAATGTCTGAAAGTTTATTGAATGTATTGATTTTTCTTTTCTCTATCCAAACAGCTTTATCTAGATGAGAGTAACCTTAACATTCGTTAAATTTTTTCTTAGGTTTAAAACAAAAGTTTAGGATAATTTATCTTTATTTCAAGATAGTCCATTTTCGCTTATTACTTTGTTAACTTATCATCTTTTTTCTTACATTAATCAATTGTCATCCGTATACAGTATACTGCAGCTGTTTTTGTCTTATTCCTTATTCGAAAATGCAAAAGCTTCCATTTATTAATATAAGATAGATTATCATGAATATTCGAATGGTTCTCCATTAAATGATATATAGTTTCAGCAAAGGGTATAGTCTTCAACGAAATGAAATTACCTTGTTTTTTCTTTCATTTTTAGTACTCTATGGATAATCGTAATTAGCTCTCTATTCTTTATTTAGCTATTCAACGCTTCGGTAAATCAATATGATTTCTTTTTCATTTCCCTCTTTTTATGATTATTTATCGCTTTTAAGTATAAATACCCAATTAATATTTCCTTTGCGATCTCATAATTCATTAAAATCCCAGCAGGCTATCATTTTTTCCGAAATATGATATATTTTTACTTTTGAAATTGATTTTTTTTGTGTGATCTATCATTGTTTTATTTCAGTTGAAATATACTTCAATATTTGCGATTATCTCATTTTAAATGTAAATCGGAAGTTGAAACTTATATAATAATATTATATATTATGTCATCTCATATTTATCTTTTCAAATTATTGCTAGTGATAACACCAAAGTGTGAGATATATGACGGAATCTATCTTTTAAGATAGTGTTTAATTCGAATAATATACAATTTTTGCCAATAAATATTTGACAGCGTCAAATAACATTTATTTACAATTATATTTTTAAAGTTTTGAAGTTTTTCCTCTCTTAGATGACTTATTAAATCCAGTTAAGAAATCTGGTAAACTTATATCTGCCATTGGGGACTGTAAATTTCTGTAACTTTCCAGTTGCTTAGATATTTCATATTTAACAGCCTCCTCTATGGATTCAGTTTTAATGTTGATAAAATCGCTATAAGCAGAAGTTTCTTCATTTCCAGACGAACAAGAAGTAGTATCTAAAATACCGGAAATATTTCCGTAATCCTCGCAATCGTACGTAGTACTTGTAGACGTTAAGGATTGTACTTTATTAGTATGATATGTTTCTGTTTTTTCGTATCTATCAGTTATTTCAACTTTTTTAGGTTTACATCTATACTTTGGCATATTAAATCCTCCAAAAATGTGGAAGCAATCTGTTTAAAAATATTTTTGCTAAATAGGATATAAAGAATTAAAAGAAAAACTGAAAACGAGGGTAAAAAGTTTTATTTCTCTTATGTACAAATCAATTTCTTATTAAGAAATGCTTTAGGAAAATTACACGAAAATAAACAATAATGAGAGAATTTTTGTTCGTGAGAATGTTATAGAATTACACATCAACCGTATATGATACTATCTTTATACAAGGTATATACTGTATATGTTGAAACTTGCATAGAGAAAATTCTTTTTAGGTTTTAACCGGCAAAAGAAAAGTACCTATTAATTTTCCTTAATTTTCTTTCAAGAATAAGAGACAAAAGTATTTCCAAAAAGAAAAAATTTATAAGTAGAGCGTATAATTGAAAAAATTCACAAATTAAAGAAGAAATTTTTTTACTACCTTAGATCTTAAGAAATAGGCTATTTATATTTATATACTCTTTATTTATTTCTATCTGTATGTCTATTCAGCGATGTAGCCCTCTTTTTGTAACACTCACTTACTCCCTCTCCTTCTTATATTATAGTGTCTGAGTATTTCTCTTAAAACTTGGTTGTATACGTTGAGGCTTTCTTCATTTCGTTAATTTATATTTCATGTTTTTTTCCTGTTTTGTTTTAACTTTAAATATATTATTTGTTACTTTTATTGATTAAATGATTGTTTTATTACTTTTCTCTTTAGATCTTCTCCAAGACAACTTATAATAAGCTTAAAATAAAACACTAATTTTCAAATGCAAATCAACTATTTATGATGTTCGTTTAGAAAACAATATAAGCAAATTTTTATTATAGAATTAGAAGCATAAAGTTAAGAAATATTTGAATATTGATTAATAAATAAATTACTTTCGTTTATTGATTAGTCAAAGCACGTTTTTATCTTAAATAATTAAGTTTTACCTGTCGAAATTTTTGCTAATTAAAACATACGCTGAAAATCCAATTGTAAAAATATGTTGAAATTTGTTACATTTATCTTCTCTGAGATTTTCAATCATTTCAAGTTGCTCTCATTATGAAAGAAATACTTAAAGCGGCTGGAAAATAGTTTCCTCTTCTTGAATAGAGGACACAATGAAAGATTTAAACTAACAAGTCGAAAAAACTTGCCCTATCTATTTGCCAGGACATAGGCAGGAGAAATTAAACTTCGTTTAGATGGCGCTTCATTCTATGATATATGCCATCTATCGATAAAGATAAAATTTAAACCATCCTCTAAATGAGCAACAGAGAATACAAGAATAAAGTTTGCATGTGCTCTTGATCTGTCTTCACTTAAACTGCAGTTTTGAATTAGAAATTGCTCTTAGGAAAAATATTATACAATCGTTGAGTAAATAGAAGAGATAGCTAAAAAGGTTAAACCCTTTGCCAAAAAAATGTACCGATTTCTAATAAAACCTACAAATGAATATGCAAATAGTTGTGTATAAAAGGAAGAAGATAACTTTATATTATATTGAGCAAAACAGCCAGCAAAAAATTCCTATTCCGATTAATCAATAACCTGCGAAAAAAAATAGTCGTTGTAATCTCTAGACTTTACTGATTTTAGTTTTTGTTGATTAACAGCTAGCGGTCAAGTTTTCCCTAGCATTTACTCAAATTTATTCCTATTAAAAAAAGACAGAAAGCATTTTTCGTTGTCATAGCAGAATCTTTTGAAGTAAAATAATTTATCGAATTTTGTCAATAAATTTTTGTTGAATAGACAGCAATCAAGCAAAACATTCCTCAGATTGTTTTTTCTCAGGAGTATACTAATGCAAATATACAGAATATATATATATATATATATATATATAAGATAATATAAAATCTGAAAGTCATAATACATTATTAATATAAATGTATATACTATATATATATATATGCTATATATATCTGTAATCCCATGTTAATTTTTTTTTCGATTTGTTTCCATATTCTCATAAAAAATAGTTTTCCCGGAACGTCAAATTCTACAATGGAAGCATACAATTACAGGAAAAAGGGATTCCTATAAAAACAGAAACAAAGAAGAGACTTTTATATATCTCTAATTAATCAAAGAAAAGATGTTGGCGTTTATTAATTAAAGTCTTAAACAAATGTGCTCTTAGATTGATATAAACATAGAAATTAAATAAAATATTAATATAATTATATATTAGCTTTATATATCTTTATACTCTGTGAGCTAGTTCATAAATTATATTTATATATATATATATATACTGCATATACTAACATATATATATACATACGATATATACTCATATATAAAAATAAAAATTTTATGAATACATACCATTTTTGTATGAAATTATTACCCACAACTATTGAAAATCATTTTTGCTTGCCTTATATTCATTTTGTATTTGTATAAAGGATTTATGGGATAAGAAATATTCACAGAGGCTATCATTACGTTTAGTTTGACATCTTATACATCTTACTTTTCCTTCCGAATATCATTATTTTTACATACAATATTATATATATACTGTATATGTTTGACAATTAATAACACTTTTATAGATGTATTTAAACGGAGCCTCTAAACTTACTCAAAATAGTTGAGAACATGAATCAAGCAGAAAGATATAAAAAACACTAACGCCTTCCTCTTTTTACTAAGAAGGTACGATATTTTATGGAGCGGAATATTAAAAGACTTCTGGGATTAGCGAAACACAATTTTCAAAGGGGGAAAAAATAGTCTAAATTCCCAAATTCAGAGTATAATTATGATTTTGCCAACAAAACATAGTTCTCAACATGCTAAAAGAAAAAGAAGGTATAGTTCACGTAGAATATTATATGAATAAGTTTAAAATAGTTTATTTTAATAGCATCTATAGTATATATATACTGTATATATTGTATATATATATAAATTTATACTATATAAATTTCCTTTTACTATTTATCATCATTGTAGACATTATTATGATTTCCGGTTATCAAAATTCCATCAAGGGAAGAAATGAAAAGTGTAAAATAAAATAATAATTCTATGACATGATATAGTAAACATTCAAAAACTATAAGGCATAGATGTTTTTTTAGCTATTTTACTGGACAGATTGCAGTCCATTGCCCTTACTAAATCTTTAAAACAAACCAGTGCATAAATAATAAAAAAGAGTATACTCTTTTAGTAAGTTTATTACTTTTAAAATAGTTTTAAGAATCTATTTTGAGAAATTTTACTTCATTTAGGAAGAAGGCGAAAAACATCTTTGCGGAAAACATGCCATTTTTTATTAAATTTTTAACAATAATAGATCGAAAATATGAAAGCTATGAAGAATTTTCTGTTATTCTTTTTCTTTTTTACTATTTATTATAATTTCATTTTATATAGCGAAAACTATATTTTCTCAAGGACAATACATCTAAAGCGGTTAATGTGAAAGTCGGTCATTAATCATGATTCCCATTAGACCTTCGCCTTTTTACGCTTTAGCTTTATTCGTCGATAATAACATTTATTTATCCATCAAACTGCATATGTTATTACATTGACTACAATGTACGTGTACTTTCTTTAAAATATTTGCCTTCAAGAGACATCATTAAGAAAAGTTGACGAAGCTAATTGTATTCAGCAAGTAAAGTACGACGATATAAAAACAGGAAAAGGTCTAAAGTGCCTTCGGAAATAGACCTAGTATAAATTCAACTACTTAATCCTTTACCCAAAGTTCCATAAGAGTATGTTTCTCAATTTTTTATCATCAAATTTACATTTTAGCATCGCTCACAATAATCAGAAAAGAGAAATTTCAAGTATAATAACAAACTAACCGGATTCATTTGTCCATGTTAGGATAACTACTCTAGGAATATGTTACTCAGAGAAGAAATATCAAATCGCTGTGGATGAAGCAAATATAGGGCGTCCTTCAATGTCAAGGTGGCAGTGTTTTTTATTTATAAACATGTTCCGGAAATAAAAACTTGACGCCTTTCTTAAGACGAACATTTTACTAGAACTGTCTTTTTCTTTCTAACATCATTTACTTCTTACTCAAGGTCAGATTTCCTTATCTTATTCTATTGTTTTTTGATCAATAAGAGGGAATGAGAACTTTTAATCCCAAGTAGAAATAATCAATTTTTATTACGAAACGGGCAAATTTCTTTATTCCATTACTTAACAAAATCAAACACAAAGTTCCACTTCCGGAAGTAAATACGTGGATTTTATTACTATTTGGTCATAATTTTAGAGGTATTTTCTGCTTCGTATATAAAAAAAAACATATTAATGTTCTATAGGGTAGGTGAGATATCTTTTACAACTTCCTGCTTTGAAAGTAAAACATTGGATGTTCCTTGAAAAAAAGAGACGTATTGACTTTCCAAACAAAAGATTATTATTTAAAAATTGGCACAGTCTTGAAATAGGAGCATAAGAAATTTTTTATTTTATTATTTTTTACATTTTCTACTGAACTTGTTTTTTACTTGAACTAGAAATCTAAACTCGATTACTTTCGTTACAACTACTCGTCATGTGTACAGATTCTTCAGAGAAGTGTTTTTTGTTTAAACAAACTGTGCTTTATAATTAGGAATTGTTTTCCTTTACAAAAGTGTGCACTTTTTACTGCATCTTTGCCGTTTTTTTTAGCTTATTCTTTGAATGTAATTCGTTGTCATAAAACATTTTATAGATGTGTATTTTAATTTTAGACAAGCTATCTTTGTAAATAAAAAGGAAAATATTATTAATCGGAACTGTGTATTGGAGGCTAACTCATTGACACTCTACAGCTTTTAACCTCTCACAAAGACGTCAGTAAAGCTAGGAGAAGCCATTAATAGAAATAGACCTCTACGGCTTTTTTGGTTTTAACCTTAAGAGGGTAAAGGAAAGATAAATTAAATTAGTAAAGTTTAATTGTTTGAAAATCTTTTAGCTGTTAAATAGTTTTATCTCTCTAAGTTAAACAATAAGGTGATAGACATTATTTTCCAAATGATAACTGTCTTTTAGGCATTCTGTTCAGTTTAATTTTATTTTAAGAGAGGTTAGATTGCAAATTTATAAGTTTAATACGTCTTGTGTAATATTCTACCTTATCACCTCTCTTCTAGTTTTTAATACTTGTTACAATTTATTCTTGATTAATTATTCGTAAAAATTACAAAAAGGATAATTAACTGTCAACCAGATTACCATTAGATTTGTGTCCCATTTTAGAATTGGTACTTGTTTTCTTTGTTTACGCTGGAGAAACAATTGTTACATAGACATCTTTAACGACCAATAAGACTTTCCAGTAATTTTGGATGTGTATAAAGTGAAATTTTGTTTATGATCATTAATGAATAATTAAAAAAATGGAAACAAGTGATAAAAAACCACATCTGAATCATAACACGTGTTCGATGACGTTATTTATAAAAATTAAGAGTCTTTATTAAATTTTCAAAGCGTATAACACCTGCTTCAAGAATAGTAATTAAGCAGAAAAGTTTAAAGTCTGTTTGAATATACTACTGCGTTACTTTTGTTAAAGATGTATAGTGGAGCGCAACTGCAAAGAAAAACTTAGTCGGCCATCTTGATTGTGGTTGCTTAGAACAGTTTTTGCAGCCAAAGCGAGTGGAGCTTACAAAAATTAAATGTGCCTTCTGCGGTAGACAAAAATATCGTTGTTTTCTAAATAGACTTTCGGATTAAAACTGTTTTGTTTCTTTATAATAATGATACGATGTTGGAAATTGGTCGAGTTATGTTCGGTGATTGTGCGTTTGTAGCGCATCAAAGAAGGCCTGCAGCTGGTCCAGAACCTACTAGGACTCATTACAATCCTGTTCCATCCATTAGGAAGATGGAAAGGCAAAAGAATGTACGAATGAATCAAGGACAAAGAGCTAAAAGGCCTACAGCACTGTATAATTCTCTTCCTATAAGTATGGCAAATGGCGGACATTTCGATGCCTCTTCCGATGACAACTCAACACCAACCCGTAGACGACGAGCTGTTAATAGGGTTTTTCAAGAGTTTGCTGATGAAACATCAATGCACGGTGTTCCAAAAATTATAAACGCAAAAAGTCTTCCCGCAAAAATATTTTGGTCTATTATCTGTCTAGCAGCTTTTGTCATGTTTATCTGGCAAACGGGTATTCTTTTGGCTAGATTTTATTCTTACCCTAAAAAAGTTAACGTAGAAATAGTACAAAGACCAGTCAGATTTCCACATGTAACTGTCTGCAATTGTAAACCGCTTGATATGATTGCCGTTAATGTAATTGAAAACCTACGAGACGGCGTAGATAATTCTGAAACTTTTGCAAAATTTCCTTATTTATCTGATTTTGCTGAAAAATATACTAAATATCAGGAGCAAGTCTTTAAGTTTATGTTTACTACCACCTTTATCGACAGGCGTATAGACGGCAATGACACCTTTCCTCCACAAGATTATCAGTATGGTGAACCGGACAATTTTACTTTTCAGGAATATCCACAAGAAACTGATATGAATTTCACAGGCGGATTGGATACAGATTTAGAAGAGCAACAGCGTAGGCGGACCGAATATTTAAAGTATCTCAATTCAAAGATGGGATTAGCAGCAAATATCGGTTCAGAAGTAATTTTCTCCGCTGGTATTCAACTGAAGGAATTTATTGTACATTGTAATTTTATGAATAGGGATTGTAACGATGAAATTGCTAAGCACATCTTTGTTAAAAATTTTAATGAAATATTCTTTAACTGTTTTACTTTTGCACCCGAAAGGATTATGGAGAATACTGCTACTAGATTACATGGTGTTGAGCAAGGATTAAATCTCCTTCTTTTCACGGGAAGTGGGGGAACTGTGGAAGCCGCAAGCCATTATGTAACTCCAGGAATAACAGAAACAGATTCACCGTTATCTGGAACTACAGGTTAGTTTTATTACTTTCTAGTTTGGTTCTAGAGTGTACTTATTCGATAGATATGTATCTAATGAGGCCTCGTTTGCAAAACTCTCTTTCATCATATTTATAATACAAGTTGCTAACACTATTTCAACTAAATTGTTGACGTACATCTCTTAGACATACTTTTTGTCCTAAATGTAAACGTCAGTTGGAATGATACCATGAAATCCCAGTACGATCTGCTACCTTAATTATATTCCCCCATGTTGATTTTTGGCCGATCCAAAAGAAGTTAATTGCCTCTATACGGCTTCTATTTTTTCTCCATTTAGTAAATTAATATAGTGTCTATATAATTTTATGCCAATATTGACATAAATGACAATTGAATATGTAATTAAATTATATAAACTTTAACAGAGCCATTGTAATATAAAAGGGCGGAGAGAATGAAGAGAGAAACATTATCCAATTGTAAATATTTATGAAAAAGTAATTATAAATACTTAACCATCTGTAATCAATTATTTTCCCACTCTTAAAAAAAGAAAACTTTTTAGATTCTAACGCATTACTATTATTATTATTATTATTTTAAGTTGATTGTAAGAGGTAGATTAATATATAAAAAGCAAGCCAAACTTTCTGATGACCATTCCAGAAATATATGATATTCTTTTGACTATATATTGTATTGTTTTATAAATTTTAATTATTAGATATTATATAAGAATATTATTCAATTATAATATATAATTTTGCATCAATAACGCTCAAACACTAGAAAAGTAGTCTAATTAAATTTTCCATCTTTTCAGATTAGTTTTTTTAATTACGTTAATTAATAAATTCTTTAATAGGTCCCAGTATAACACTAGAATAAGCCGAACGAGTAGAGTTCTTTTATTTTTCGAAATAACATGGTATTTAGAGTATAATAAACTCTTACTTTAGTTAATGCTTCGACTATCCTTCAAACTGACCGGATGAAACTTTTCAGCACACATTTTGTCGGTAAAGAACGTTTATCTTCCTAAAGCTTGTTTAGGCTTAGCGTCGCTCGCAATAAACGTTTACAAATATTAAGTTGAGGGAATAAGGGAAACGGTCCTGATGACGATGATGCTTATACACAATATGTATAAACATATATACAGTATATACTGTATATAAATATTGTTTGTATAAAACGTATATTTCCTATGATGATGGACCCAAGACGAATATAATGAATAATATCTCAGCCTCCAAATGTCATTTAGTTGACTCAACCAAATAATAATTACAATAACTCTTTTCTTTGTCTTGTCCTTTTCTTTAGGATTATTTTGACTGTACAATATAATAATTCCCTGATGAAATTTGCTATATATAACTTTTCAAATTAATAGATATAAACCCATTGTACAGGAATGAACAACTAAATTTAGGTTATATCTATAAAATACATGTAATTAATGACTAATCGCACAAGTCGATTAAAAATTAGTTGTTTCAGAATATACATCACAATGTAACAGCTTATTGGAATATCATTTATCACATATTTGTTTATTGATTATTAGTGAAAATTAGTTGCTACTCTTTGATTATGTAACCATTTATCTGAACGGAAAAAGTACAGAATCTTATAGAGAGTTTGAATTTCATCTCAATGCTATTTAACTAATGAAACTATTTATTATCTCTATGTAGAATAGTTTTTTACTATAATTACTGTGTATAATTTATGCACCTTCTATATTATACTGCACAAGGCCACATGTGCTAAAAAATAACTGAAAATGTTTTAACAAAAAGGAACTATCGGTAATCAATTGAATGAAATGTATTTCTTTCATATTTAGATATATAAGAACTTCGAAATTCAATTTTTATAGAATAATTTTAAAAACAAATATGAGTAATCAATGATATAAATAAGAAAGTATGCTGTAGCTAAAGATTTAAAATGCATAATAAATAGTTTAATATATACTGTATATTGTAATGCAAACTAATATAGTGCATTTAGAGAGGAATAGTTTGTGCATAATCAAAGTTGGAGCTCAACTATTGATGATGCAATAGATTCCATACAGAAAATAAACCAATAAAAAAACTGCAAAGCTTCATTTATCATAAATGAGTGCAACCTGAGACGTATGCAATGAGGCTCTTTTCTTTTGTTCATCATCAAGTATAGTATTTATTTCTGTATTCACCCACCTACAACTCAATTTATTGTATTAATATTCCTTTAAATAAAACTATTGACGAATTTTAATATTTAATGATATGATTATTCTCCTACGACCATGATATGTGCCACAATAAATTTGATAATAGTATTCTATTCCTAGAAGATCGGTAAACTTTTATTTTCTATTTTCTCTTTTCAACAAGTTTAAAATTACTAACAACCGAATTATTTCCCTCTGTTTCTCTTCCTTAAATAAATATATTTGTATAGTCAAAAATGGTCGAAAAGGAAAAATAGGGTAACGACACGTTTTCACCAAAATACCAATTGTGTTGATCAAATAACATCCGTTTCTGATAAATTGTGCGCTGTTCTAGTATATATTTCACGCGAAATATACAGATTTCTAAGAATTTCTTTTCTCTTTCCTTTCCCTTGATTAGTAAGGCGTTTGTTATAAATTTTTTACTGTTGTAGAGACCATATACAATTAATAGCAATATCCATTAAGAATAGATAATTGCTTGATGAAAGTGAAACATGTATAACACCAAAGTTTTTTGTCTCAAAATTATTTAAGTTTGCCCGTAGCTTAAATTCTATTCTTTTCGCTTATTTTGTAAATGAAATTAAATTCGACAGGCCGGAATAAAAGTTTAATTTGTTAAATGGTCGACTAAGAAGCAAATTAAGCGATTATGTTTCGACCTATTTTAACAGAACAGGGCTTGGCAGTGCTTGATAAAGTTAATAAGATGTTAAATAAGTCTTAATGTGAATTAAACGTTCTATTATCCTTAAAGTTAAAAAACAAGGTCCCATATTAATCATTCAATTCTAGAAATGAATTTTTTATTCTGATATTATATAAATGATCAAATAATTTGCTAGGCTAAAAGTACTTCTCCGAAACATCTCACGTGATTGGGTGTATAAAAAATACATTAAGCAGAGCTGTTGAAGATGCTTGTTTAGTTTTTCTAACAACTACAACCCGCTGTTAATAGCATTTAATGGTCTCTTTTTCAATACTTAACGGTTTCTCTCTATAATTTAGCTTTTCCGAATTTGATAATATCTCTCTGGCAAATATTACCAATTTCTATTTACTTCTGTCAATATGACTTAACTTCCCAACAACTAAAACACACAACATTCCATATTCTATATTACCACTGGGGTCACTATATTTCAAAACTAATATAAATCTATCTTTGACAGGTGCACGAGTAGTTGTACATGCTCCTGGAACAACTGCACATCCAGAAGCTGAAGGTTTCGATGCTTCGCCTGGCCTTACTGTGCGAATAGGAGTTAAGGCTAGAGAAAATGTTAGAATATCTCATCCATGGGGTAATTGTACAGATGAGACAGCAAGAATTAAAAAATATACACTTTTATCCTGCCAAAACGAATGTATACAAAAGAGGATAATGGAGAAATGTGAGTGCGTTGATAATAGCCTACCGCATTCCAATACTTCTAAATTACCCTTTTGCTATCAACTTCCCTCTGAGTGGTTGAATAGGCCGCATTGTTCCAATGTAACAATAGCTAAGATGATGACAATTGAGGACGATTGTCATGAGATAATAAACTCTTGGTATAGTCGTTTACAGTGCGTAACGGATGTTTATCATAATATGACTATAAAAGTACGTATGAAGTTTATAAAGGAAAAAACGCTCTTCTACAACCAAAAATTTAAAAGAATGAACCATTAAGTTTTATCTTAAAACAGCATTTTAAGAAGCTTTTTCCAGCAATTATGTAAATTCTAAGGGGCTAAAAAGAATTCTTATTAAATTAGTTTACGAAAAAATCAATAGTTGTAACAAAAATTTGGTTTAATGATCATCTTTAGCTGTATTCTATTTTCAAATTCGGTGTATAGCTATTTTTTCTTTTAAATTTTAAGATTAAAAATATCTACAAAAATAGTGTAGTCCACTTTTTAAGGAAAACCTAGAAAAAGCAGAAATCAGAAGCCAACTGTTAAAGATTTCGCCTGTAGAATGTTAAATGAGGAGTAATAAACCTTATAAAGTTGTGAATATTATTCTTTTATGCTATATTTATTCTGTATATATATATATATATATTCAAATATATATTAACACACATAGACAGTATATATATATTGTATAATAATATATACTGTATATATAAATTTACACTGTATATTCTTTATAGAATGCTAAATTTAATTTAGGAGTACATTTTGGTTCCTCCTTTTAGTTGTAGTAGGGCACAAGATACGAAACAAACGTTCTTTCCTTTACTTCAATTGAACTAAAATTTTCAGGATCCAGACGCAATTGATTCTTGCCAATGTTATCCCCCGTGTGCAGACATCCTCTATGATGCCAGCTATTCTATATCAATGTTTCCACCAAAATCAGCAGACAATACTCTCTTCTTTTCAAAAGTTGATGATTTTATTAACACCAAATTACCTTATGATAAGAAGAGAATTATAAAAGAAAAAGTTGAAGAACATCTCAAGGTTGATGATGTATCGGCTTACGCTAACTCAAGTGTGCAAGATTCAAAGAATCGTACAATTTCAGAACAATATTTGAAGTATGTAGCCGATAAGTACTTTACCAGGATTACAATTTACATTGCCGATTCAAACGTGATTAGAACTGTAGAATCTCCTGATTATGAAGCAATTCGATTAATATCTGATATTGGAGGTCAGTTAGGTTAGTATATATTGAAAACTCTTTTTTAAATGCATACCTATTGAATTAAATTATATGCAATATCGCATTAATGGTTTAAGTTACATCTATTGCATAATTTCCTTAGAACATAACTATTCTATATCTCAGAAAGAATACTAGGAAAATATATGTAGCCTATTCACACTATAGAGCATATTTTCCCACGTCATATGGTTAAATAATTATAAATAATTGAATATATAGTCATAATTAGTTAAACACTAGCAGCCATGATAAGCAGCTGACAAAAAAAATACCTCAAATCTGGGACAAAAAGCAAATAAGGTAAATTTAGGGAGTATTAGTAATTTAAGAACATGTACAAAAAGAGCTTTTAAAGCTCTCTATGAGTAATAATAATTAGGTGAGAAATAAAGAGTCTCTCAAAATTGGTGTATACTCTCTTCTAAAATGGAAACAATAAGATTGTATGCAAAACAGGACATAATATGTTATTTGGATCACAATGATATATACTTTTCTCAATACGTGGAGAAAGGATACAGAAAATATTTACAATCAGGCAAAATATATTTCATTTATTGCTTTCACAGTTGATAACCTAAGCTATTTATGTAAAAAAATATATGGACTTATATCGAATTTAGTAGTAAGTAAATCAACCGAATATTATATGGAAAGAAATAGTTGGTTGTAATTAAGGAGGTATATTACTGGTGACAAACACGCATGACGAAACGACAGTTTCTATTTAGATACTGGTTTACCATCAGCTGAAGTAAACAAGATGTGTTTTTTCATTTGAAAACATATTATTAAAAGAAATTTGCTCTTGTTTGCTAGAAAAATGATTCAATTAAAATTTTATTTTATAAATATGACGCAAATATTTCTTTTACGATTTATTTAAAAAGGAAATTTTCTTTCCTCTGCTCTTATCTATTCTTTTTCGAAAGAAAGTATTCTTTCCTCAAGGTACTTTGAAATGTTAGTCTGCATTTGCAGCTTTTTAATTGCCTTATATTTTTCCAGCCTGAAATATTCAATTGAATCGAAAAAAGCCAACTTGTAATAAAAATAAAAGGAAAAAAGAGTTAACTTTATTCTGAATTCAAATAATTCAATAAGCTTACTTTTAGGCACCTTTCTCTTGATATTTCTAACATTAGCTTGGTAAAGTTGTAAATCTTATTATGGTTGAATAAATTAAGAAAGTCTTGACAAATCTATTTTTAAAAGTGTTTCCATGACGTACAAACTTACTTTATATAAATACCATTAGATATTTATTTATTTTTGTTCTTTCAGAGTTTTTATTATTTTTTATAGTAAATGATATACTAAATGGAATTCTCTATATTTTATTGTTTATATAGAACATAAACAATAATTAATGGAAGTATAGTAATTTTACTAATCCAGTTAGAATAGTTACGCTTAATCTCATTTATTGTACTTTTATATACGTGTTTTCCTGGATATAACTGTGATTTTATCTTTCAATAGGTTTATGGATTGGAATATCAGTTATGACCATCTTCGAAGTTTTGCAGCTATGTTTAGATATATTTGCTTATGCAACAAATAAAAGTCGAAACTTTGGGCAAAGAAGAAATAAAAATCTAGATAAACTAAGCGACAGTCGATATCGTCAAGAAGAAATTGACTATGAAGAAGTAGATAAACTAACCACTGTATAATATATATATATATATTAGTATATATATATATATATATATAAATACACTTGCTAGACGACACTAATGTTTTAAAAAGATTATGAATAACTTTTGTGGTTCATCAGATATGATAACTGGTTTTAAGTTCTTTTCGCTTTTTAAAGAAAAGAGAATCATTCATCTCTTCAATCTATAATTTGCTATCTTGCTACAGATATTGACTTAGACTTGCAATAAGTGTCTGTTCAGTACAGATATTATTCTGAAGGGGAAAATATCTTATCATCTCCATAAATATATATATATATATACCTTATTTTGCTTGTATATACAGTATAATTCAAGGGCATAGGCCTAGTAACACCTGGTAAACTTCTTCAGCTTTCATCCGGCAAAGAATAACCTTTAAATATTAGTTGCTGTTAAATAGACACAATCAATCTGTGAAGGAAATTTATCCATAAAATGGCTTATTTTTTTATTAACTTAAGGAAGATTTTATCTTCCTCTGGAATTTTATCACTGTTTTATTGGATGTTTAACTTTTGTAAGAGCCAAGAACTAGACATGGAGAAAAATTTTCTTTCACAATAACAATAATTCTAATAACAGGTGCCACTAGTGGCATCTAGTGTGTAACAGTGCCACAATTTTATATAAAAGCTTAAAAATGGTATTTGATTTTTTTATTTCTTATTTTTTTTATTTATTTGCAACTACAAGTGCTATATAATAGTATACGGAAGATCAATCGTTTGTATTATTATTGAGTTTGCTAATTATAATTTGTTCGAAAATTTTCGATTAAACTTTTAAAATTTTTTTAACAAAAATTTAATTTTTGAAATATAATATAGATAATCAGGAAGAAGCAAGAGAGAAAGAAGGTGAGATTTCCTTCATTTTCCCCGAAACATCTCTTTTTATATTAATCCTATTGTTCTATTGCATACACTTTATATTCAATTAAAACAAAGAAATATCACTGCAAAAGAATAAATAACAAAGTTGAAATATTCAAATTGGATTGAAGACTAAAAAATAAAATTATACAGTATTAATTTAAATGTCTAATTGGTTCATTTAATTTAGTTTGATTTATTGAATATAATAATGAGGACAAAAGGTATATACATGTACATCTTACGTGAGTGTGTAATTTTGTGAGTCTTTTTTACGAGCAAACATAAGAAGTTTATTCAAAACTTTTCACTTAATAAAAACAGAAGATGTCAATGTCAATCACATGTATTTAAAAAGAAAGAATGAAAAGATAACATTAATATAATTTTGATGAAAACGATTTTAAATTATATTATTTTTTAAAATATGAACTACACCTTTGATTCATCAAAAATTTCAATACCGTAACCACGAATATGAAATAAGTATTGAAATTTCCTATTAAAAGTGGCGCCCCCAGACACAAAATTTTACTACTTCGTGCTAAGAGCAGCAAAAGGTGCGGCAGAATCATGAATAAGACACTCTTTTTAACGTGTTGTGGACTGGTTAATATAGTAGGAATTATTTTTGTTGCCGTATCATTTTCACTAGATTACTGGCTCACTTATGATATTAACGAAGATTTACTAAAAACAACAACAGAAATAGCTGAATACAACAATGCCTACAAGACTCAGTATCCCTTATTATATCATAATAGAAACAGAGGATTATTTAGAACCTGCTATGATGAAAATAAAAATTGTAAGTGTACAAATGTAAAGTTTATCTAAAAGTTATTCAAATTATTAATTCTTTTTAAGGTAAATTAAAGATTTTGTAATTCTAGGCCACAGTAGGCGTGACCTTTATTCAATAAAAAAGAACAACTCCTTTCTCTTGCTAAGGAAAAATTGTTCATGAATCATTCAATATCGTAAACAAGAATCTTAGTCTGTTGGGAACACACTAATTAATTAATAGATAAATAATTTATATTATTTTCTTCAGTTTATGATTCGATTACAAGAAATAAAGTTGACGATCACTGCTTCGCTGAAGAAGGTTATGACGTCGGCGACTATAGAATACTGAACACACCATGGAAGAAAAAAATGGGAGACAATTACAATAAAAGAACTAGTTAGATGCAATAAATTATTTAAGTAGTCTATTTTTCATTTCTAAGCGTGTTTTTTATTTGTTATAGATTTGATTAGGGCGTGGTTTCTATTACTTGCTACTGGACTTCTAATGAGTTTAGTTAGCATTTTTGTTGGTGGTATATCTTGTTGGAAATTAAAGTCATTATTGGTGAAGATAACTGCACTCCTGACTTTAGTAACTGGTAAATTAATTAATTATTCGAGAGGAAAATTATACTTAATGAATTATATTGAATATTGCAGCTCTTCTTATAGCAGGAGGTGTAGCATGTTTCCATGGTGTTCGAATAATGGAAACTGAAAAGATCACAACGCCAAGTGAAGCAATTGATGAACCAGAATATTTCGAAGCACAATTAAAGAATGCCACAACAAACTTCAAGGTTAGTTTAAGAATACCTAAAACAAATAATCTTATAGGTGATTTACCCTTATTATATAGCACCTGTATAAGATAATGGAAGTGAAGCTCGGTACTTGTTACTTTTTATGCTGGATTGGTTGTGGTTTTCTATTTGTTGCTTCGATTCTCTATCTTATCTGTGGATTCGGGTAATTATTTAATACCTCTTTAATGAAAAGTGATAAGTAAAACTTTCTAACGGTAATTTATAATAGAATGGATCCACCAAAGGAGAAAAAGCCAAAGTCAATGAAGCAGGCAAAGCGAACAAGGCCAAAGAGACAAAGACAGCCTAGAAGAAAAGGTAAAAGGGATGACGAATATGCAATAACCAAAGATAGATATCATCAAAGACAGCACCCTTACGATAATCCAGAATACGGTGCTCAAGATTACGACTATGAAGGTGGATATGGGGAAGGATATCCTTACAATGGATATAGATATTAAATAACTTGTACTTAAATATTAGCCAAAAACAAACATAAAACATATTAGAAATCATGTAAAATTGTCGTTAAAAATTTTGCACAATCTATTATACATTTACGAAACTTCATATTTCGCAACTTAAAACATTTTGTAGATTTTTTTTAATATTTTTTCTATCCCATTGTCATTTCTTATTGGCGTTCCTTTCTGATATATTCATTATCTGCACTATTTGTGCTAACTTCAAGGAAATGAGACAGGTGGCGTTAAATGTTATTTATTTTTCTTATCGATTATTTTTTTTTATTTATATAATAAATGCATTAAAGAACCCATAAAATACATCAAAAACGCTTGATCGAGCTACAATTAATATTTATCAAGTTGTCGAAATTGTCATATCAATAGTGTATTATTAGTACAATTGATGAGGCAATTATGATTCATATCTTATCTATTTCAATGATGAGAGCACATATTATGAGAGAAGAAGGGGGCGTTATACCAAAAGAAAAAAAAGAATATAAAAACTATTTAAATGTAACCATCTCAACAATTAATAATATTTTATTTATCTCTATTAGTCATTTTAAACTAACAAAAATGAACAACATAGCAGAATGTTTTAAGTATAGACTTTGTAATAGTATCCCAACTGATTTATTCAACATTTAATTTCCTAAATGATTGTTCGGGTACTGACTTATCTTTAAGAGCTAAATCAATCCCATATTTTAAATCATCAGTAGCTTCCAAGATGAACTCTCGATATTTGCTGATATCCTCTATAAATTTTTCATTAATTTCATGGCAAGTACCAGCTCTCTCTCCTGTATAATCATCTGGAAGGTATTCATTGGGAATATATTTCATATCAACTTGTTGGTAGACTTCTTCAAAATTAGATATAACATGCATTCGACTCTGGAATTTTTTGCTTATTATGGGTTTAAGTAAGCTAAAAATTGTATCAAATATTGGTCCGATGTTGTACATTATTGATCCTTTAAATCTGTAGGGAGTGTTACCTTGCCAAAACTTTTGCATTTTTTTCCTATCTTCGAAAGGGATGATATTGAAATGTTTCATAGTGTAACCGGTACAATCAGCAATTAATTTCAATCCATGAACTTGAAGATATTCGTCTCTTCGAAGATAAATGAAAAGTGCCCAGAAAGCTCTCATCAGCACTGAAGGCTCTGTTTTCAAATCCATTGCTGAGATTCTTTGAAAAACAAGGGTCCTTCCTTCTTTATCTTTTCCAGGTAGAGGAAACATACAACCTTGATTTAGAAATTTAAGAATGGATTTGTCACATATATCAATGTTGGCAAACCATTTTGGATTTTCAACTAAAGTTTTGTGATAGCCTTCTAATATACTTCTTGCTCTTAATTGACTAAATTTTGCAGTTCTCAAGAATGGTAGTAGAAACTCAACACTCGTATTACATTTAATATATTTTTGTTCACTAATCCATTTTCGGAGTGAATCAACTGCGGCCAAACGGTCATTCGGATCTTCATTCAACTCTTCTTTAGCCTTTTTCAAAGTTTTTTCATCTAAAATACATTTGTATTCCATTTTCTGTTGCATAGTAAAGCTGGGACAAGCTGGTCAAGAATGATCTGATAACATAGATGGCAACATATAATATGAAAGAAAATAATGCGCCATCTGCATGTTTCAAAATATACTAAATAATGGAAAAATACTTAAATACTCAAGTAAAATAACCTTTCTCGTTAGATTTCGAAATAATGAGATTCTTATAACCTGATTGTGATACGAACTTGATAAAGTAACATAATAGAATTCTAAAACCCTGCGAAATTTCTATTCATTTCACAGTTTGTATCGAAGCTAGGTTTGATTACGAAAATATTTCACAACTATTACACAGTTTAATTTTAACAAATAGATGGCACCATCAATTTTAATTAGAAAAGAAGTAAGTTAAAGAAATAAAAAAGTTGAAAATAAAAATGCAACATTAAAGACAGCTGCATCCTTTTTACAAGAAAAATGTCGGATGTATTTGAGACGAAATAGATTATTTCTTTTTTAAAAATTTAATGAAGCATACATTCTATAATTACAACAAAAAGAAATAGTTAATTCTATCTAAGGTAAGAAGACAGGAGGTCGATTCTTATGTATTAAACAACTTTTTTCTATTATCAAAACTGTACTTTTATGTAAGAGTATTCTTAGTTGCAGTTTTCAGTTTTACTGAGTATTAGAAAGAGAGAGAAACTTCTTTGAAAGCAAAGAGAAACTTTCTTAATAAACATCTGCAGTAAATTTATTACACTAGCTATTAAAGTAAAAAATTTATATATTAAAAAATATTGTGATAAATTCAACATGTGTTCTTAGATATATATATATATATTTAATAGTTATTGATTATTGATATTTCTGTGCTTTTCTGTTGTTTTTAAAACAATATAGCTGCTAAAATAAATAAAAAACTATTTTATAATTCTTTACATAGATGTATTGAGTACATTTCTGTGAGCGGTTAAAAAAAGCCATTTATATAGTTTGTATATATACAGTATAAATATATATATGTATATATATCCTTTATATATAATATTTATAAAAGATAAACGAAACAGAGAATGATTGTTAATTTTCTTTTCGACTTACACGTATTTTAAATTTGATAAGGGATATAGTATTCTTAAAGATGTTATATTATAAGCTTTTTAATCTATCCCTTTCCGCTTGACCCTAGAATATTTCTTCTCTTTATGGCTTTATTTGTCACGGTAACCTCTTTTATATAAAAAAGGGAACTGAAACTATTCCAGCGTTAAGATACAATTTTTCTTTCAAATATTTATCGCTTTCATCATAGATTAAATTCTTTTAATAAAGATTTTCCTGGAAATATTGGTTATTATTTGAATTAGGCTAAAGAATATTTTAACTATTCTGAAAAAAACTGTTTTATAATGGGGAAACAATAGAAAAGTGGGGAAATTTAGTTTTCTATTTTTGTCAGACTTTTTTGAGAGGATAAAAGACAATGCTTTTTTCCAGCTATAGTCATGTAATAATTAGGAGAGAACGAATGTGTTGGATAAGAAATTAGTTTTCTTCAAGGTTTCTTCTCTTTTGTTCGAAGCCAGTAATAAGAGGCGACGAAGAAAATTTCAGTGGTAAAATTGCAGACACGTCGCTAAGGGCCTAGAGTTGTAATTAGCAGGAAATTAGTGACAAGCAAAAAGCCTACTCAACCCCTTCCTACGACCGCTAGCGTGATCTGAATATTTTGCCGCAATCTATCGCCTATTCAACTTTACTATTAGTAAGATTAGATTGCCATGTTTATTGCGTAATTAATGTAATTTTGATAGCAATTACTCCCGTCTACGGTATATTTATCTAACCGATTGGGAATCGATGCCCGAAAGAACGTTTGATATCGGAATGACCTAATCTATGTTAGGGGGCAGAGGAAGATGAATATTTTACCTAAACCAGATGCCAGTTAAAATGCTCTACTGGAGGGAATTTTTTCCTGGATATTGAATAAAAGCCTTGCTGTCGAGCATGTCTGAAAGGATTATTCAATTAGCTAGCTAATTTCTCTTGCTTGCGACGTAACCTTATCCTTTAGGATTTATTATTTGAGTATTTCACTCTGAAGGACACCAAAAGTCATTACTGTCGATTGAATGGTTAATAAGACATTCTTCATAAAATTTGCGTTTATAAGCAAAAGTATAAGAGGGAAGGAAAGACAACGTAAGACACGAAAGCGAATAATAACAACAAAGCTAATACTTCGTTTATTGTTATATAATGATTATTTGTTCCAAAATCCATCAGTACCAGATAGTACCGGTTATATCCTCTCTCTATAATACTCGGGGCACAGAATTCGATCTCTTCCGCTTCTGGGTAGGATCTTGTGATAAAAAAGGAAAAACTTTCATAAAGAAAGAATAGAGCATAGGCTGAAAAACGTGACCAGATGTAAAGGACAGGGATAAAAAAATGATTTCTATACAACTCAGTATGATTGGGATAAGGATACGATGAAATTATTCATTTCCTCTATACACTTTATATACATTCATATATGTATATTTATAATACGTATTTGTTTATAAACAATATTTTGTATACAGTATATACACTAGCATACGTACATATGCTTAGTTTGGTACTTCTTCTATAAAGCCATTTTTTAATTTTTTTCTCCCATTTTTTCTTAACCAAGCTTCCCACTGTGTTTCTTGCGTTTTCTTCGTATATTTATATAGATTCTATTCGAAGACTGCAATAAGGAGGGGGAGCAAACAAGGCGGATAGATTGTGGAAAAAATTGAATTTAGTTCATTTCGTTTACTTTACTACGTTGTTGTAACATTACTCAAACATGTGGATTTTATTAAGTTTACTTTGAAAAACGAGCTTTACGCCGATAGAATTTTGTGTTTAGCAGGAAATTTTTTCAATGCTAAATCGAGTATAAATAATATGGTATTTTTTAGGTAATCAATTCATTCTTCTTTCCTTCCTTTTTCTACTGATATTGTCGTTTATCTATTATTAAGGAAACTGAGATAATGAAAGTCTTAAATATGCTTAAATTTATTGGTATGGATAAAGCGTAAATATAATTAAATGAAGACAAATTAGCTTCTCATTTTCTTTATTGTAATTTATTTCATTAACTGTTGATAATAAAAAATTTTCCAGTAAAAATGTCTACTTTTTGTAGAGTTTTTGGGTTTTCTTATTCAATAACTTTAAAACACTTGAAGGAATAGAGTGACGTTCTTCCAATGAGACTAAAAGCATGTTGATGTTATTTTACTGGTCAATATTTATTATGATTAATAATCGTATATCATACATCATTATAAAATAAACCTAAATTGTGCTAATAGTATGCAAGTATGAATGAATAGACATGTTTAATAATTCATACACGTTAACTAAGGCTTTGGGAAAGGAAATATGACAAGAAAGAAAAATCTTTCATTAATCAAAAGATAGAAGAAATTTATAAGTTTATTATCGAGTGATATTAAAAATAATTATAAAAAATATAAGAAAAAGAACAAATAACTAGTAAATCGCTTAAAAATTAGGGCAAAGTACCGAAATAAAGCCTTTTTAACATTTGTATATTTCCTATATACTTAAAAGTCGACCATTCGTGCCAAAGTGGATTTATTAGGTTAATGTATATGACAAGAAGTTAAATGATTTCTAGGCATTCATAAATATAAGAGAAAAATGTTTCGAACAGTAAATATATGTTTAAAAGTTACATGGAATAATAGTTGTTTGCAACGTGATGGATAAAGTAGGATCAGTATAATACATTTATTATAATATATGTTATACTATAATAAGGTATACCTTAAGCATAGTATACCAAACCTATATGGTAAATGAAAATATGTATTTGTTATTCTTTTCAAGATTTATACCTAAAAAGAATCAATATTAATTAAGAAAGCTTTTCTTATAGGTACTACTAGTATAATTAACCATGGAAAATATTGAGAGCTTTTTGACAATGCTCAAAAGATAGTCTTAAGAGAAGATATGTTCAGTCTTAACATGCTATAAAGCTGTAAGGGTACAATTGATACTTTGCTATTTTTGCCGCAAGTCTTGCAACATTATCTCTTATTAATATAATGTAATTTATGTGAAATAAGTGCAACATGTAAAAGGTCCCTTTATACAGATTTCTTATGATTTATAGATAGAAAAAGAGAGAAAAAAATCAATCCATTTCGAATGCCTAGAATTAACGCACCAAAATGAAATTTATGTCGAAAACAGATCCTGGGGAGGCTTGACATCTTAATGCGATTCTTTCGTCTTTAAAGAATAAGAGGAAGAGAAAGTATCATAATCATTTTAACGGTTAGCATTAACCAATTAAGGGTAGGAGGACAAGAAAGATACAGTCGAGAATCTTTAAATAAAATCTAAATAAATCGATACTTGAGGAGAATTGTCGAATTGAATTGTAAAAGAGAAAGGAGAGGAGAAAAGATGAGTCACAAGCATCGAAACCTGGAAACAACCTTAAGTATTTTGTTAACTAAAGCACTTAAGCAATGTCAAATTCTTGTTTGATGATTGTATTTGATAATCAAAATAATTTTTCTCCTCTTACTTCCTAAATTTCCGGTTTAGTGATGCTTGAAGGATGTTAGGGGGGCCGAGCGCGAGCGTAAGGAAAGAAGCGGCAAAATGGTTTAACGAACGAATTGACCTTTATCTATTCGGACTGTGGACAACGGACAAACCGTTTTCTTATAAATGTAAAAAGCGATGGGTGTCGGTAAATTCTCTTCATCGATTTTCCTCTTTCCCTCTTATATTCTTATATTTATATATGCTATATATATAAAACGCACGTAACAATATATTTATATATACTTGTAAAAAACATAACACACATATTTTACACCTAAATATATAAATATATAAATGGCCATAAGATTTTTATAATTTTAGACAAATGTAATATATTGGCTGAGAAAGAGAAAGGCTATCTTGTCTGCATAGGAGCTTTTTATCCCAGGTTAATATTCATTGCTAATTTTCCTAATGTCCCCTCGAATTTGTTATTAATCGATTCACTTTTGTCATCTCTCGTTTGTATCATTCTTCTGGTCCCTTTTTAACGTCCTTATTGACACGCTACTTAAGTAAGTTCTCTTAATCCATTCATTTGTATTTTATATGTTCGACGAGGTATTCCTGTACAAACAAACTCTTCTCTATACTGATTAAATTCAACACAAGTATGTATATATATACGGCATATATAATAAGGCAATTTACATATATATTCTATATTTTCTCGTTGTTGGCTGTATTATCATAGGTGAGGATATATTTAGATAAGGAGACATCTATTTTATGAATAGCAATAGGAAATTTTATCGTAAAGCGAATTTATTGTTTATTAAGCCACACTGAATTGTATAATTGGGGGGAATTTTCAACGCACTGCTTAAGCTCTACATAATCATGTGGACGTATCTGGGCAATCGGATTACTTTGGTTAAGGACGAATTTTGTTAGCAAATATCACAACGTCAATATTTCTTCTTGGATTCTATTCATTCCACTAAAATAAAAAAGTATTCTTTTTTCTTTAATCTATAAATTAAATTATTCGATTCTTCATTATCTTTTTCATCTTTTCCAATTTCTTTGTCTTTAAATTTAAAATTCTTTTTCACTGTTAATGCACTTTATATAGGAGATGGAACTAGTTTCATTTTATACGTGTATGTACAGACATACACACACTCACGCATACACCCTCACAACAGACGTATATAAAGTATGTATATACAAGTGTATTGTATGTACATATAGTATATCCTATAGTAAAACAAATGTGAATCATCTGACCATTCCCTGTTTAGAAAAAATTATCATATTTCTGTTAATATTATCTAGTTTACAATTGTAAATATTTATTGAGGAAACGTTATATTCCTACTATATGCTTGGCAAAAAAATGTTGCATATCTTGTCAAACTAAATAAACAAACTATCGTCTGACTGTATGACCGCTACAGACACGTTTTCTGGAACATCTAAGCAATCATACGTATAGGCTTATGTAAAATAAAAATAATATGAATATGAAAGATCATTTTCATTATAAGCAAAGCATTATCAATTAATTAACTTTTATAAATGACCAATTAAATATTTCTATAAAAGTAATGATACATATTAAACAAAGGAAAGAAAATTTTGTATCTCGTTTGCTGTAGAATTTATATAACCTCTTAACTCTTCTCTTTTCGTCTTATTTTACTTATAGGCAGATCCTTATATTTGTCACAATAGTTTTATAGCCTGAACACAAATATCCTATATTCTTTAAAATTATAAATAGTATAATATAAAGAAATCTTTGTACTTAAGTTAGTATTTTTTTTATGTTTTTTGCTATTAATAAGATATTACCTATTTGCTTAATATCTGTAAAAATTACCCCATTTCAATATAATCTGTATTTGTACTTCATTTTTTTGAATGGCTAATTTTATTAGTGAAATAAAAAAATTGTCTCAAAATTGGGTTATTTCATTGGAAAATAATAGTTTCAGCCTGAAGCATAAGCATTCTTGGCATTTTTGGGCAAATTTATTTCTATATGTGTTAATATTATATATATTGCGTTACTTGAGGCAAAGCTCTGCCATAAAACGAGGCGTTTAATAGCGGTTAAGAAGCAATTTTTCACGGATTAATCAAACCATCGTCGATTACTATTCCCATGTATAAAATCAATATAAAATCTTCGTTAATAATCTTAAAATACTTTTTTATAGCTGTTATTTGGGCTTGCCAAATATTGACATGTGACGTAAATAATCAAATTCCGCCGTTTCTTTCAGTAAGAATATGAGCATCTCGAAAGTATTGAAATCTATGATTCCAACTGGAAAAATTTTCTTAGATCTCATCAGAATCCACACAAAGTTTGCAGAGTCGAACTTAAGACGCTAAATGAGGACTGTAACAGTATACTTTGAAGCCTTTGTGTTTTTTTGGTGAATTATACGTATTCATTCGAAAATGGAACCGTTTCTAAAAGGTATCCATTGTTTGCAAGTACACACTAAACGGTTTTTTTTGGTCATTTTTTTTATTATTCCTCTTTTCGAACAATTACAGTCATTATTAGACATTAAAGCTTAGAAAGTTCATACAAATATAGGCCTATCTTAGTCAAAAGTAAGAGATCATGTATATAATTACAGTATAAAATTCCAACTTGATTCCATCATTGAATACAGACATTTTGTATTATAAAGATACTTTGTTACCATTGTCTTTTCCTTTATAAATTATATTAGTTCTTCCGATTAGATTATTTAAATGAACTGTATTTTTCGTCTTTTTTACTCTTAGCTCTTTTATCCTTCCCTTTCTATTTTTACTACGTCCAAAATAGTTAACATCTTGTTTAGTAGTAAGTATAAAAATATCTGAAACAAGTAGCTTGCATTGACTTTTGTTGTTCTAAATTAGTGATTTAGCTATGCAAACATACATTTGCTGCCATTATTATTTTCCTATTAAACCTATATTTTCTCCGACTAATGATAAAATTGATTCATAATAATAAAAAAGAAGAAAGAGAGACAGAAAGAGAAGACAAATTAAGAGGAGTCGAATAAAAAACAACTAAAAAAAGAGAGACAGAAAGTAAGAAAGAGCTAGAGAATTTATACCCGTGCATGGCTATTCTATCTCACTCAATTCTCTTTTCCCATTCCATCTCTAGATTTTGCCATTATATTTTCACATTTATACGAACATTCCAGATCTCTTCTTATCCTCATATTTTTTGTTGTAACCCAGTTTTTAAAGAAGATTAAACTCTTTAAAAGGATTAGTATTTATTTTAAAAAAGAGAATGGTAGATAGAGCATGTTTAACAATGTTGTTTACAAAACAACCAAAAAGATTTCCTTCACTAATAAACCTCCATAAAGAAATCGCACCCATGTTATTACAAATAGAACCAAAGTAACAAAGACAAATTTCCATTTATATAAATGCATTTTTATAAATATACTATAAATATATATACTGTATATATACAGTGTATCGGGATATAGTTCTTACACACACACACAGACAGACACACGCACATATACAGTATATACACTGAATATCATACCAAAAAGAGGATGTATATTTATATTACATTGTATGATTGTGTAGCTTTTCCTTGTTAGATTTTCCTAGCAAAGTATTCATCTGCTGTATAATTAAATGTTTGTAAATCATTTTTATAAAGTTTTTGCAAATTTGATAATATTTTCCTTTTTATAGTTCTGTAGTAATCTTTTGCGCTCGTTGGACTCAGGCGTTTTTCTGACACGTGACGTGCAACCAAAGATACATTTCTTCCAACTAGTTTCTCTAGTAATTTTGTGACGAATTTCGAGTCTTGAATAAAATTTCTCCATTCACCTATGAAATCATAAGAAACTAGGCAAGGTTGGCAAAGATGAACTTGAGAAGCCCAATGAGGATTGTAACTAAATACTTTCGCGTCGGTATCCGTTAGAAATCTTACAAATTCGGAGAAAGTTACTCCATTTCCAGAGGGTCTCTTCTTTTTCCTATACATTCTTTGTATTCGACGTCCATATCGTCTTCTAAAGGTTATTGTGTAACGATTGTATTTTGTAAATTTATCAATGTAGGCTGATACAAGACGTTCAAAGGGGTGACGACTGAACATGAATTTAAAATAAGTCTTTAACTTTTCATTAATGTCCTCTTCAGTTAGATATTTGAACGAAATTATTCCAAACCGTTTCAACACGGACGGATTATGAACATCAACATTACTTAAGTCAGTTTCATTTAAGTGTAAAGATAACAGAGTTGCTTTCCACGTTGAGCAAGCTACTTTCGGATTAGCACAGTAGATTATCTTAAACCTTTCATCCGCATAAATGTGACTCATAGACGCTGGATTAATAGGGCTGCATGTCTTTCGAATGGTTTGGTTGGACGAAGCGATAAGAGTCCCAGAGGTACCGTAATTATCTCTGCTTTTCGTCGCTGTTTTGGGAAATTATAGTCTATAAGTTTTGGTACAAGAAGCTTCTTTTACTTTTTTTGTGTCTATAATTAGGTCCGAAGAAAAAATCAACCTTTAATTAAAAGGATCTCTGTACGTAAAAATTCAATTAAGTAACTTTTCCGCAAATACGTACAAATAATGAATACTAATATTTAGATGGTCTAGAATAGTTTAGGGACCTCGTAGGAAAGGCGTCACGCGTCTTTTCCTTCCGACGCTTCTTTTTAAATACCCTGAGGCCATGGATTATCTGTACTTACTTTGGAAGCAATTTTGTTGTTTAAATGATTTCAACTTTTGATAGTAAAATGTAAAGAGCTTTGTCATTGATTGTGGGTGCATAGCATTTTAACATTCTTACAAAGGAAATGTTGGTAATTTTCCCCTTTGCACATAATTTGAATATTTACAATATTCATTCAACAAGACTATGAATAAATCAGTTAGGAAACAGGATAAAATTTCGTTGCATAGTGTTAATTTACACCTTTTCAACTCATTTTCTAGACAGTCAAGATAAGAAAGAATGTAAGCTTACAAACTGCAATTTTCTTAAATTAACCTGTTACTCTGAAATCTTTTATATGAAGAAAATATGAGAACTTGTAATAATATTTAATAAAGGTATTAATGTTTACTATTTTTTTCTGTATTATTTTGATCAATACAATGCATAGTATATTCTTAGATAAAAAAGCCAACACTTCAACTATATACTTCCACAATTCTTCAATTTACAAATGAATATTGACATTTTTTAATATATATATATAATCTATTTTTATATAAATTAGATCGCACATTTACAGTGAAGGAGATTTTAAAAATTCTCACACTGGATTAAATGGCATAGTAATTCTGTTTAAAAATATTCATATTTAACACCTTTTTAGATAAATCTCTTTCTCTCACACAGACAATAAACGTCTTAATGTGCTCTTTTGAATATGTTTTACTCTGCTATTTTTCTTACCGATAGACTCCCTTCCTTATTATCCTAAATCCGAAAAATATTATAGCCGCCTTGGTATTTCTTTGACCGACTAAAGAAAAGAGAAATCAATGCGATTATTGCTTTTTTCCGATTTTTTATTACTCTTTTTATACAGTTTGAGAAAATTAGAAAAAGAGGGTCTAATAGTTTTCATGACTGTTATTTTGTTGCTGTTTTGTATATGCAAACCAACAGTATAGGCCTACATTAATCTAATCTTTCCGTAAAGGCATTTTTTAGTTAGTCAAAAACTGACAGCAATGGCCGACTTGATGCTTCACTTGTTTGATATTGTCACGTACGACCGTCGGACCTTTCATTTTTATAATATTTTTCATAACTCTACTTTTTTTCGATATACTTCTGTTTCTATTATTTTATGGATTTTCCTGTTTTCCTTTGATCCCAGAAAATTTTTATTCTCTCTTCTTGCATACTTTTACTCTTAGTAACTTTTGCTCTGTCGTTGTCACTTTTATATTTCTCTCCCTGTCCCTGACTCTGTCCCTCTCTATCTCTCTGTCCGTCTGTGTATATCCGTCTCTCTCTCTGACTTTGTCTCTCTCTCTGACTTTGTCTCTCTCTCTCTGATTTTGTCTCTCTCTCTGACTTTGTCTCTCTCTCTCTGCCTCTCTCGCTCTGCCTGTCTCTGTCTCTTCTCTCTTTTTTTCTCTTTCTATCTCTATCTCTCTATATCTTTCCTCCCATTCTGCCTTTTACTTCTGTATCGCGATTCTACTGCGCTTATTCAAGAAAGAAAAATAGATGTATTTTCTCTCTGTTCTAGACTCTTTAACAAGAAATAGAGAAAGAAAATAAAAACGAATTGACCGTTAATATGATTACCCTAAGTAACGCTTCGCGTCAATTTTACTTACCCCTTTCCGTAAATTTGTTTATAGTATAAAAGAAGAGGAAGGCGGTGGAGAATAGCAGTAATTTGAAAGTTGCGAATTTCATGCATCGAGTTTTATCAATCCAATTTTCTACTAGCATTGAGTGTTGTACTTTGAAAAGTAGATAATATTTCAAATGATTTCTTTCCGTCGAATGTTGAAATCATTCTAAACTCTACAGGTTTGCACAACAATCTTGCAGCATTTGCAGCGAACCGAATGAAGAAATTTATTTGAGAAGTTTCTGCCGTAAAATATAGGGGTCGCTGACAGCAAAAACCTCTATCTTCCTATCTGTCTCTCCCTCTCTCGCTCTCTATGTCTCCTACTCTAAATAAAATTTGTAGCGCCCTCTCTCTCTCTCCTTTTTTCTAGCTATTTTTCTTCTCAGCAAAAGGGCAAGCGTATGGGAAAAATTTGAAGTCTTGTATAATTAACCTTATTAAGAAAAGACCATATGGCTAGTTGAATATTTTGCTAATTTTTTATGGTTTCTGTTTGTGTAAATAAAAGTGTATTATTTTTTAGTTTACTAGAGAATGCAATGCTAATTGCACTTAAACAAATAGTCTTTACAAATTACTATAAACATGTCTTAAAATATTAATTAATATAAGAATGTTTTTCTTCTTATTTACCACCTGTATATAAATCATTCTCAACTAACAATAGTTCACTTTTCCATCTCTCTGACGCTGTCCTTTCTAAAGTAAATTGTCCCGTTTCCATTACTTGAATTTTGCTGTAATCCGAATCATATCCCTCAGTATCTATGCTGTTTGCAGCCTGAACGGGTATTCGACCATTTTCCATCTTAATTGCGTTTATTTTAGATTCATTACTGATTACTAAAGTCGACGAAGGCTTTCCATGAGGCTTTCTGGAGAAGATTTATAACTAAGTAGTTACACATTCGTTTGTTTGTTAAAAACATACCAAAATAATTTAAAAATCAGAGATAAAAGAAGGATACTTACTCTTTTTTCTTAGCAAAACTACATATAACGGATAATATGACGGCAGCAGACAAAATTATCAAACTAAAAACAATCATAAGAATCATACCGGCAGCCTCTAAATTTCACATAATAAAAATGATTAATTTTCTATTTTTATCCTCTGGCTAGTGCTGTTTTTTCTATCGGAATTTTTGTTTTAATTTAATTAAAAAACAAAAAGCTTACTTGAAGATTTTGTTTCTTTTACAGAGTTTCCCTTCCAACTATGTCTTGTATTATCGTAACTGGTGATGCTATAATAATATTAATCAACTTAAGTTTTGGACTTTATCCTAAGTTTTTTCCGTCTCAGCTAATATACTATACATAAGTTTTAGATGAACTACTAGGGAAAGTATAAATGTAATTTACTTAAGTGAAGACGAAATCTTTCCAGAGTAGAGACAGTCAGTTATTGTTAAAAGAACATAAAATATGTAGAGTGTATACTTGTCGGAATGATATTTTCTCATAATTGGAGTATTAATAGTGAATAATATTAATGCCTAACAAGTCCAATTAATCAACTTCTAGGCCAAAAATTACTAGTATAGCTTAATTTTTTTCTTAAGTCCTAAATATTACAGAAATAGCAGAAAATCTAAGATTAGCATGTAATAGTCTTTGTGTCTGCAAACAAGATTATGTAATGCAAAAGATAAATATATCTAATGAAATGCTTAAAATATCTTTTGATGAGACGGAAAGAAATTTATGTGTATCAGTAACTTAAGTACATAGCAAATACACTTAGTTCTATTTCTATGCTATTCAAACCGATATTTTCACTTGGCACTCAACATTAGAATCATATTTTGACGTTATTGTGTTCGTCAGTGAACTTAATTGATAATTAACTTGTTAATTAGTCAGATAACTGGTATTTTATTTGTTTTTCTTTCACATTGTCTTTTTTCGAACAGTGAAAAATTACTCCTCTTGGAAAGGTTTAAATATCTTATGTAACATTTTAAATAGCTTAGAACGCAGGTGGAGAAGGTTCTTTTAATATCACGTAAAATTAGAAGCTACAAGGCGTCTATAGGTGCCATCTGCTGGATTTCTTTTCAAAGTGCGAAGTATCAAAAATCAAATACTGAAAATCATTTCATCTCTAAAAGGAAATCAAGGACGCATTTCATTTTGCTTTAGTTCTACTTTATTTGCTATTCTTGATTGCGAGGTAATTAAATAATAAATAACAAAATTTTTCAAAACAAAAAACGTGTTTTCGATGAATGACAGTAGCGATAGCAGGTAAATAGAGAGTATTGACATTGAAATATTTACTACTTTTCAATTATTTTATGATCTAGAAGCATCAGATTTTATCAGATAAATAGTTATAAAATAAAGGATACAGGAATAGACGAGTGTCATATGAAATTTAGCTTTTATATCGACATCACGTACTGTTTGACTAGTTAACAATGACTTTTCTCAAAACTTTACTCTTTTTGCTATATTTTCCAAGTATTATTTAGTAATTAATGTAATTTGTTAAAAGATATAAAGGAAAGGTTTTTTTTATCAGGTACAATCAGCTCAGCACAGGCTACCGTATTATACAAAAGAGATGTAACTGAAAGAAGCGAGGTATATGCTTATATAATAGCTTTTTCTTAGTTTGTTTAATAATAATAATAGAAAATGGAAAAACAAATCAACTATTGTTTATAAAAAAGAGAATATATATTTTTCATTTGTCGAAATACACTTTGGTACCAAGCATCTGATAAACAATGTGGGTGGGATAAAAATTTCGCAATTCCCCAAGATCTAACTGATGGACGAGTTTTTGATGGGTTCTTCATGTGCGGTTAGGTAATTACCATGAAAAAGAGTACATAACTTAGTTTTTATCAGTTTCGTTAAGTAGCCTTAGCAAAATATAATCTAGAAATAAATAAAGATCCTGGTTATGAAATATTATATTCTTTATATAATTATAAAAGAAAAGTACGAACTTGGAAAATCCACTAGGTGATTGTGTAACAAAAGTGTTCGTTATATGGTAGTGACAGGCTAAAGAGAGATGACATGGTTTTGCGTGGGAGCCTGTTAGATAAAGATTTTATATAGAAAATTTGGAATTAAGTTAATTAAATCATTTGAGCAATTTCATTAATAATAGGGTTTTAGATATTAAGTGATTTTAATAAAAGAAAACGAAAGTGAAAGCGTCAATAACTATTATATCACATAAGGACTAGAACTTTTACAAATTTGTAATTCAGCTATGCGTAGTATTTTAGAATTTGGACATTATTTGAATAGGAAAATCGATAGGAGCAGATTGAAATATACGGCCTAAAGAGTAATTGCAATAAGGAAATAGGGTTAAGGGAGTAACATTTTTAAATGTTCATATAACGAATGAAAAGGATCCTTTTTTATTCTTTTTTTTACTCTTAGATGTTAATAATCAAATAATTTGTAAATGTGAAATGTCTTTTGATTACAGAAAATCCTAGGGAAATTGTAAAAAATTTTGCTTAGGGGAATTTTATAAGAGTAGTAGAATAGCTTGGATTGTATTGGAAAATATTTCCTAAAGACAAGCTATCACTCTGTAAATTATTAATCTTTTATTATAATTTAAGAATTGTAAATTATATCCTTTTTTTTAAAACGTGTTACGTGAATAATACAAGTACATTTGCTTTACTGTAAATATTATACAGCATAGCTTGTTTAATTTTTCTGACATGTCCCATTCTAAGGATAGATATACGTGCTTTGAGTGTTTTTATCGTACTGAAGATCCCTTTGGCGATAGAGACTGTAGATTGGATTCAGAATTTGCAATACCTTACAATCCAAGCGATTATCGGGTAATAGAAAATTGTTTAGCTTGCGGCCTGACTGTGACGAAGAAAAGCAGTAATATTTTTCTTATTGCAAGTTATGCATTATTTTGTTTCAACATATTTTTCTTTTAGATAAATTTTACGAAGTAAATCGCTTTTGTGTGTATTCTTCTGCTGGACAGGAAAGAGATGAATGGAAAACTCCCAAGAGTGAATGTTTAAAGGTACCATTAGTAGATGGTGAAATGGAACACTGTTACTGTAATACCGACTTTTGTAACATAAAAAACAATGCTACTAATATTTGTGATAAAACAATAAAGAAAAGGTTGACAGCTAGTTCCATTCTTTCATTAGGTAGAGAAATAATAAATACAAATACATTTATTATACAAAAATATATTTATTTATCTTATTAAACTAAACATATTTCTATTTTATCTAACAAACAGATGACCTACGAGGAAATCCTCCGTCTAAAGCTGTAACTTGCTATCGATGTTCGTGGGAGAAGTCAAGTGGAAGATCTTTACATAGCAGTCAATGTGATATTGAAATGAATTTTTCATATTTGAAACGTGATATTGTCAATAAACTTGAATATAATTGCGAACAATGCCAATTGAAAAGTATATGGACAGAGAGTAAGGTGATAAATAACATTTATATCACCATAAGATAACTTGTATTCACCAGATGAACTTGTAAGCATTGAAAGAGGGTGTATTAAGGAGATAAACATTAAAGATAAGTGGAGGAAGAGATTGAATAGCTGTTATAGAACTAGTTTAAAGAGGGGTGAAATAATTGATTGCTTCTGTGAGAATAATTATTGCAATTCGAGAGCGGATGATATTCCGGACGTTTGTGACCAAGTACGAGAAACTGACGGAAAAAATACGCTATTACAAACGAGTACTACGAGTTCTGCTACAACTATTATTAATACAATTAGTAGTAGTTTACCGGGTGCTTTCAATAATGATGAAGTAATTATAAGCTATCTAGACCTCAAATTGAATTCTATACCTTTTCCTCTTTTCGATTAGCCGAAATTCGCATGCTTTCAATGCCTCTATGCTTCATGGGATAGTAACACAAATAGAGGATGCGGTTGGGGAGAGAATTTCACGATTCCTTCAGATTCTCCGTTATATGTGCTTAATGGTTGCAATGAATGTAAATTAATTGTTACTTGGAAGGGCAGTAAGTTGCTAATATTGCTGAAGATATGCTAAAGATTGAAAAGAGAGCAATTTTATTCAATTTATATTATGTTTTTTTTAGATATACCATATGAAATCTTTAGGTTATGTCTCACATATAATAGACAAGATCCGTGGCAATATGAGCAAGAACTTTGTACAAAAGAACTGTTGTACGGGGGAGAAAATGAATTCTGTTCTTGTAAAGGAAATTTATGTAATAGTAATAACAGCATCATTCCTAATGTGTGCGATTTAAAACCAGAAGGAGATAAAATTCTAAGAAATAGTAATTGTTTGTTAATAGAAAAACTTTGTAATAGAAATAAACATTATTTTATTTTTACTCTCTTAGCTGTAGCTGTAAAGAGAACGGAGAAAAAGATTCTTATCAATTGCTTCCAATGTCTTTGGCGTATCAATATGAATTCTACTCTTATTGATCAAAGATGTAGGCATGGGAATAACTTTAGTGTTCCTCATATCATAGGGGATTCCTCAGTAGTATCAAACTGTAGTGCTTGTTATATGCAAACAATCTGGAGAGGAGGTAAAAAAAATAATTTGCATTTGTTACTATTTCCCTTTTTATTTGCATAATAAATTAGTAATAAACAAAGCCATCTTAAACTCTCAGATCAAGTTTACGAGGTTCAAAGAACGTGCCAAGGAAAAGGCCTGGTAAATAGGACTTGGCAGGATCACCAGACATCTTGTTCAGATAACTATTTGGCTGGTGGTAAAGAGGAACATTGTTTTTGCGAAGAAGATTTTTGCAATGATAAATCAAATACCATAGCAAATATATGTCATGATAAAAGCGGCGGTAATCACTTTACAATGGAAAAAAAGGTTATTCCTATGTATTTTTTCTTATATTATTTTTTTTATAAAATTGAATAATTGAATATATTAAGAAAGAATAAATGTAATGAGATCTATTTGTTAAAACATAATGAATTATTTTAATAAAATATATATTGAACTTTAGATGATTATTCAAGACGCCGAAACACGTTTACATGAAAAGTTAATTAATGAAATATATAAATTGTTTATTAAATATTATATACAGCAACTCTGTTCCACTGGGAGTATATTATATAAAAAATTGAATTTTCTTTGAAAATTGCATAGATAAAAATTTATATCTTTTGAAATATAAGATATTATTAATAGACGCTGGTGATTTAATGAAGTATAAGGGCTATAAATACAAACAATTTCGACAATAAGAAAGAAAAATTTAGTGGAGGGCCTTTTATTTAGAACGAATAGTTCATCTTTGTAATCTGAAACATTTTCTTATTACAAAAGATCTACCACCCCTCGTGTATACTAATAAAGAAAGTTCATTTATATCCCATAAATTGTCAGTAGACGTAGGAAGAAGCTAAGGATATTTTTAGTTTTGATTATTAGAAATTTCGCTATAATTTCATGATACTTTAGTAATACTTAATGGAACATTAAAACGCTGCTGTTTTTGCAACATTTTGTGACGAGGAGCTAATCTTACCTTATGTTGTATACATACCATAAATACTGTATGCAGCTTATGGCTTCTTTGCTGTGGAAATGTAGCAATAGGAAGGAAAAGAAACGACAAGCAATAAAAAAATTGTAGGATAATATCAAAAGATACTAAAATTCCGTCTTTCTCAACCTTTTCCCTTGTCTTCAATTATCTCTATGCAGATAGTTTGTTGACATTCAATTTTTTTGTCACTAGCATTTGTCTATTCAAATGTGACAAAGGGCAGAAAAGAGGGGAAGGGGAAGCAAATCAAGAGTAATTGGAGTATGAAGATGCTTATAAGAAGCAATAGCTAGTGATATAATCGTATTAGACGTAAAATTAAACATCTATACAAATTCAAAGAATTAATATGCAAGAAACGAACTTTTCTTGGGGCAACTTAAAAAAAACGATATCAATTGTACCTTAAAACCTATTTCAATACAACTGCAGCTCTCTTACGACATTGTTGCGAAGCATGTTGTATAATGCCATAATAACTAGACTAATGTAAAGCTTATACTGTATAGAAAATGTCATTTATTCGTTGTCAAGATACGTGTTTAAAACAACACCCCTAAAAGCCAGCTAATGAAAGCGTTTATCTTCAGAATAAGATATATTCATTCGAAATATATTATGTTGTAATCTTCTCCTCGTAATAGAAAACATATTAATTAAATTATATATATCCGATGTATATATATATATACTGTATATGAACATAAGATATAAGAAACAATTCATATTATGTGAATTTTTTACTTGGCTTTTGTTCGCTGCATGTTTATCTGTATATATAGTTTATTTTCCCGTATGTAGACGTTTATACAGTAGACACATAAGATTTTATGAAAGAAGGTAATATACAAACAAGTAAAATACAACTCGAATTTAAGAATAGAATAGGCAAAAGTTGACAAAAGCTTAATAAGTTTTTGAAAAACTATCATTATTAGTTATTTCAGCCAGTAAAGTATAGCAATAATTTGCTTTTGATAAAATTAGAATAATAGAAAAGAAAAAGCAAAAAAAAACAATCGTCATGACTATAATATTGTCAGCCTGTATCTTCTTCAAATGCTATATCTCGCCATTGTTTATGTAATAATCTGGCGAAATAACAATGATGATCTAGAATGAAAGTCAGTCTACTTAGCATATTAGCTATACAACTCTTCTCAATGCCATAGAATAAGTTTCTACCTGGTATAAAAAAATCCGCCATAAAATTGTTTTTTAAATTCAACTTAATTTCTTCTAATATTCTTAAGACAGTTCCATCCAATCGCCATTTTTGCCATCTTTGAATATGATCAACTTCTAAGTCGAGACTGTGCAAAGTTGCGTGTAGAATATGATGATTCTTTAAGTAACTTAAACTTGGTTCTCGTCTAAAAAATGACTTTAATATAATTAGTGATTTTCGTCGAACTCCTTCGTCTGCCTTATCACAGATCGACAATAGGGACGTAGTCTTTTTATCATGATGAAGTCTCCAGTAAAGTTCATTAGTTTGATAGGAATCATTAGCGTAAAATCTGCTTACGGCAAAAGAGTTTCCATCTAAATTCAAAGCTGGGGTAAAGTATATTATTTTTTTGTCTTTTCTCACTTCTACGACATTTTCGTTCGTATTTTTCGAAACAGTTATGTCTGGAGATGTCATAAGAGATGTTTTTGTACAACGGTACAAGTTGTCTAAGAGCATTTGACTTGATAAGTGAATACCGTCTGAACATCTGGCCCATCTATAACCGTCTTTTTTTGGTCCATCCGTTTTAAATCGTTCTGCCAGCAACCATTTAAAACCAGGTTCTTTTGATTTGATTTTAGTCTCTTTTTTATCAAGAACTATAAGTACATCAGCAATTGGACAGTCACTTGTACAAGTTCCATTAAAAACACTTCCGCAATATTCAACTTTCAAAAACTTAGCTCCAACTTTTGCCAACAAAACCTTTAATTTTGGTATTAATTTTTCAAGTAATGCATAAACTTCGTTTGTTAATTCACAAATTTTTTCGGTAGAAGGTCGTGCTATTTTTGTGTAATATTCTTCAAACACTGCTTCTAAAATTCCACCGGTTGGTGGAACAGTAGCCATTTTCGGTAGTGAATGTTATGAGTTTATTAGCAACTGACGTAAAAAAAGGCCTAGTACAGTTCAATAAAACGATATTTCGCTTTCAATTCCAAATAAAGGACAACATAGAAAAATAAGATACTCAGTTTCACAACAGTAGTTTGTCTTTTTTATTTTTGTTTAAAAGCGTTAGCGGATACGCTTGGGAATGGCCTGGGGCTAATTTAGTGGTAGCTGTAACTTCGGAAGATTCTCTTCTGAATTTCGCTGTTGTGTATCCGTAGTTTGACTTTCCTGTGGAGAAGAGAGCGTAGAAGCCAATCTTGAAGTTATTGTTAAAGCCAGCATATATCAGTGGGTTTAAAGCGCTATTAAGGAAGGCTCCAATTTTTGACCAAAATTGCAAAGTATGAAACCAATCAGGTAACTGGTTGATTGAATTATGCCAATATTGATCGTACAGTATACAAGCCTATTGAGATTGTGAAAGAATGGACGAAAGAATACAATAACTATGAAAAATCTCTTATTTATCTACATGTTATTCAAACAATTCACTTTTTTCCTACTCTTAATTCATTCTTAAACTATTGATTCGAAAACTTATATATTGTTTACTTTACCATCACGTCGATATGGATCGTTTGAGGACATTAATCTTTTTTATTTTACTGATATTCTTTCGTCCATACCTGTAAGGGACCCCAGCATACAGCAAAAACGACTATTAATACAACCAACATGGTTATGACTTTTCTAGTCTTTTTCCTTTGGTTATTCAGATCAGCACTCACCCTTTCGCCGGGTTGTGATGCCTTACAGAGCTTACAGGAAATAGCGCCGTAGGCTGGCGCCATAATTGCTAAAGGAGCAAAGAAAAGTGCTCCGGATACGATTGTGAAATAGGCTGTTCTGCAAGGAAAATATATAATAGTGTTGTTGCCTTCTTGAACAGTAACGCTTGGCCAATCGCCGGAGCAATATTTTTCTGTATAGTCTTTCCATTTATTTTCTCTATATTTTTGATAGAATATTAATGGTGTGGCCACGGTAGAAGCAGCCAACCAAACGAAACCTAAAGAATATCTTGCCCTTCGAGCCGTCATCCGTGCCCGGATAGCAAACACAATTCCAAAGAAACGATCGCAGGAAATTAAGAGTAGAGTTAGTGTACTCGCTACCATAGATAAAACTGTAATTTATAATATTAGATTAGTGCATACAAACCATTAACCTTATAAAAAAAGCACAATATATCTGTTATTTTTGCATCTCTATGAACAAAAAGGAGAAAGATAAAAGAAATATCCTATAAACATGCAATATGTCAGTCCCATGTCAACAGCCTTTAGATAATATTCTGTGTATCATTTATTTCCCTTTAAAAACTGTTTATTTTTCCTCCGAAGGTTAAATGTAATAAATTACTTATTATTTTATTCATTTCTTATGACTTTTCTCACATAAAATATAGAAGTGATTTATGAACTACTTATACTAAAAATCTCAGCCCTAGATTAATTTATTATATTCTAATAAAATATAGACAATTTCTTATTGACCAGTAACTAATTAGAAACTTATAATTGACTAGTAACTGGCTGACTAAATAATTTCCGCTTCTTGATAGCATTGAAAGAAAACGACACTATTTATAAAAGTATGTAATTTACAAAGCAAAAGCCCCTAGTTAATGAAATACGGTGGATAACGATTCGTACTTATAACAAATAGTGAAATAATATACAAGGAAATTATAGGCAAATGTACAAAACTGGTGATACTATTTGAAAAAAAGTTAATAAAATCAATTATGTTTTAATTATTTCAAAAGAAGCATATAGACAGTATTTTATTTATCTTATACCATTATTATCTTATTATCTTATTTATAGTATAAAGGAAATATAGAAAATGGATAGACAGATACAGACAAAAGAAATAAAAAAAAATACTATAATGAATAAATGTTTTATCAATCAATTTATTATTTTATTATTTTACTCTTCCAGCATCTACTTTTGAAAGATCAACTGTTGAAAACTTAGTTTTGTAGACGATATTAGGAGACATGACTGTTTTTTTAATTAAATTTTATACGGAAAAAACATTTTTAGATGAAATTTGAAGCATAAGATTGATTCTCTCTTCGCTTTCTCGTTCAGTATTTAAGTACAAACTACTAAAATATAATATTTACTATATACAGTAAACTGTATAATTTATGTTTAATTTATATTTAGTGAATATTTGCACATACAAACTATTTTTGTGTGACAAAATAATTATTTATATATATACTTTTTATCCTCATTTTTCAGTCCGTCAATTTGTCTTAATCAGATAACTGTACAGATAAATTCATATAATTGAAAAACGTCAACCGTAAAGGCATTGAACTTTATACATGCTATAATTATTCATAGTAAATTAGCCAATTTTATTTTATTTAAATCGATATTGGGTATATAAAATACAAGTTTGAAATACTTAAATACATATATTATAGCGAAATATATATATATACTGTATATATATATATATATATTTCAAAATTTATCATTTCAAATTATTATACTAGTACGATACTCTATTGATCAGGTTTGCCCTTTTTATTCATTTATAAACACTTCCGATTAAATAATGTGACATTTATTTAACGGCTTAGTCTTAAGTCATCCGTCTTACACATGCTTTTTCTTCCAGATAGCATAGTAAACTATAGCGGATACGGAAGAAGAAAAAAACAAGCATCCTTCGAAATATTATATCACTAGGAATCTTAAATAAATCTATATACATATAGGTCAACGTCTCCTATTTTTTTCAGAGTTTAACACCTGACTAAAAACGAGTCTTGTGATAACTTGAAATATCTTACCAGATATCAAAGAGAAATGTTTTCCCTTCTCTTTGTTTATACTTGCTTTTAATTTAAGGGATTAGATCGACTTCATATATTGTATACTATCTTCAAATTTCGGTAACAAAATCGTTTAGCTTGCACTGGTCATAAAGAGGATTTTCTAGGATTATTTATATGAAAATATATCGCAAGCCAGTTTACTTGTTTTAAGTTTTTAATTATTTTTTTGAGATTAGATATCTGATAATGAATGAGGCAGAGGAAAGAATTACTAAAGTTTAAATATATAAATAGATGTTGTTATGCAATTTGTTATGTATTCCGTTCTCGTTCTCTTAGTTAATAATATAAAAAAAGTTATCAGAAACTCTTGCTTCCAGCTAATGCAGAGTTTTTAGTTTCCATGCCCAAATAGATTTACCAACTAAAACAAAATTAATAATCAGTGTTGTTGTATAAACAAATTGTAAAATCAATCAAGAAAACAATTATTTAAATAAATAAATGATAATAGATTAACATCTTTCTATAAAATAAGCATATTTATATTAGATGAATGTATTGTATATCTAATCATATAGATCACATATTTATAAAATTTATATGTACCGAAAGTATTATACCTGTATAATATTAATATATATGTTACCATCTTTTTTACCCATTAAAATTTTAAAGTGAGTTATTTACAGCTAATAAATTCTGATTAATGATATGGAAATCTAGTTTCCGTACTCCTAACACATTATTGGTTCCGCTAGAATCCACTTTACTGAACATTAAATAGGTTTACGCCTAGTTGTCTCAAGTTAAATACAGGTAGGATATACAGAATTTATGTTTTATATGTTTTCATAATTGAATTTTTTAGAAAGAAACTGATTTATTTTGAAAACGAACAATAAAGCATATATTTTATAAAATTATTCAATAATAGTCAGTGCTATATATTCGGTCTTATTATGACTAAGATAAAATTGGTTTACTTTTTCACTCTCTTTCTCTCTCTCTCTTTCCTTTGCACACACACACATAGAAACGCATTTGCATATAATATATAGATAGGCTCTCTTTCTCTGCCTACTGTTTTCTTGCTTTCCTTTTCCATAATATATAGCAATTTCATTGAAGTTCTTATGTATTATTTTAATGTGCTTCCTACATATTTCAATTTATTATTGTTTGTCGATATGTTTCACTACCTTGATAAATGCATATACTGTTATATACCTGATAACTTCTATAAGCAATACTACTTCAGTACATGTATAATACTTTTTATTTTGTCTTCACGTCACTCAAAAGGCTGTTACTTGTTAAAACTTATTCATAATATGACCTGAAAAGTCTGTTTTTTCTTTATATAAGAAAATTTTAGGTTCTATTTGAGGTAAATGATAATTGTAGAGCATAAGTTTTTGCTAAAATATATGTCTCCCTGTTGGAAAGTAAAGTAATTAGGTTCATTATAAAATTTTCCCTCTTGGTTTTAATATCTATAGAATTTATAGCTTTCAAGTCTACTTGACTGAAAATAATTAACTTTAGAGATACATTCTGATGCGTAAACACTATCTCATTTAAAAAGTTTATACGTTACATATACGGGAAATATACAAGCAAATAAACAACTTCTTACCTTGCGAACAGCTATTTACTTTACAGAAAACTGCTCCCAAAGGCCAGTAATTTCTACTATCAGAAAGCTGTTGTACAAGATGAACCCAAGTAGCTGAGAGTACCACTAGAAGATCCGCCACGCTTAAATTTACAAGATGATAGTTGGTGGCTGTCCTCATTCTCTGAAAGTAATTAATAGAGCAAATATAGACTTTTTAATGCATATACGTTATTATATTTGATATCAATCTGAAATAACTATCAGACCATCCAAAAGGTTATAAAAATAAACTAAACGAGTATAAATAATTACTGAAATAGTCAGAGAAGAAAGGGCCTTAAATTTTTCTTTTTACTTTTCTTTTTGGTAAAAAATAAAGGAAAAAAAGACCGTGCATTTGCTCAAAACTTTATTTTTTCATTTAGTCTTCACACTATCATCTTTTCAAAGAAATACAAGAAAGTTTTCTTGCTTTTTTTCACACTTGTTAAGTTACCTTTAGAGATTACAAAAGCAACATACACATAGTCATAATACACACGCAAATAGGGAAATGCTATTCAACTCTTTGGACATCAAATTACCTTTGGAAATGAATAAAAATATTCCAAAATATCAAATTTGATATAATATGTTCTTGCGGGCATATATTCTAATATCGGTATTAAAATCGTCAATGATGTTATTCTTAGGCTGCACGCAAGTTTTCATTTGGAAAAGAGAGCTATGGCACAACGTAGTTCATGCTTATAATAAGTACAAATTAGCACTGATTAATTTTAAATAATTTAGTAAAAGTAATAGTCAAGGAAAGCACTTCCTAAAATTTTAATATATGTATATATATATACGTTTATTTTCTACTATTCTAAAAGGGATCATTATTAATTTGCACTTATATTTCAATAAAAAAAAACTCTGAATATATATTTTAATATAAAACATAATGTAATATATATTTTCTGTCACTTTCTTATGTTTTGTTTTCCTGTTAGGGATCTTAATTAGAAAATGAGAAACCAATTAGTGGCTGTCATATTATGTGACTGAACTTTAGTCAAAATATCTTTCCCAAAAGTTTCTGATTCTGAGATAATTTTCAATTCTAACTATCAATATCTATCATTTACTGAAATGTGATAGCATTTACCTATTTATAAATAAGCTTTGTTTAACCAAACGGCTTTGTTTATTGTCAAGTTTATTATTCTAAGACGAATTTTCTTGATTAGTCGTATCAAATTGTCCTTTTTAGCACGATTTCCTGTAAAAATCAAGGTCATTTGTGGATTTCCCATGGGGTAGTCAAAAGAGAAATCTTTGAGTTAACGACCAGTCACAAGATTTAGTTTGTTAGTATAAATTTTCACTTCCCTATCTCTCTTTTATATAGTTTTTGGCACCAAATTGTTTAAAATCATTACTTGTATAACTAGTTAAGTTAATAAAATAATTATTTATATATATTGTATATAATTTGATATTATACAAGTGTGAGTAATTTCCACCGTTCTGCTCTCTGGGACATAACAAAATAAAAAATAAAGAAAGTCTAATTTGGCTTGCCCTTTTACAAAAGTTAATTTCATTGTGGATGAGGATGATAAAGGGAAAACAGGTAAAAGTTGTAAATATTCATTTTCAAAATAATTTACCATCATTATTACAATAGTAGCTAGACAAAAGCATAACAAACAC